TCAGAGTCTTAGCATGAATAGAATAGGCTGCTGGTGTGGCAATTATCAGATTACGTTCTTCTCTGGAGTACCACGTGATATCTGGTTATCGGTCAAAGGAAATGCATACTAAACAGCAGAGCTCAATATCTTTCTTTATGCTACTGAGAAGTAGTCGTCGAAAGCAAGAGACTTAAACAGGCTAGCTTTCTTTGACCACTGACGTTTGCGTTCAATTTCCAATGTTAAGCGGTACAATATGATGGGTGAGTAAATAATAAACATGCCAAGCTGTCACAGTATTGACTGACATATGATTAGGTTAGTAAAACAGTCATCGGTGGTGAAATCACAACCTCAAATTAATCCATATTGTTTGACTGTTGATATTAACCAGCCGTCTAGTGACTGACTGGTTTCAACATGGAACTTTGCACCGATGTGCAGCAGTTCGAGTCGCCACACTTCACTCATCACACAAAGCCAGAGAAGGAAGTAAAAAGAAATGCAAAACAGAGACAATAAAACATAGATATGAGACAAAAAGAATAGTAATATCGAGGAACCATATAGTTTTATTGGGTATTATAAGTCATAAGGAGTGGATGATGCATCTTTGCTATGCAGTGAGAACGATTGGGAGCCATATCAACAATTGTCTCCAGCTATTGGTGTTTACCGTCCCGACGACTCCAACCAGTCAGGAAGTCTATATATTCCTACGTGGCTTAAACTAATCGTTGTAGATTTCATTGACTGATGAAGCTATGTTTCGGTTTGACCACAACTAGCTAATACTTTTCTAACCTTATCCATTCCATGTCAGCAGCTAACATTGCCCGTCGAGGAAGGCGATAACTAGGCATGCGTAACACATCCTAACCATCTCAATCGTTGTAACTTCACAGCCTCGTCAATTGGTTTCCCCTCCTTACCTAGCATTCGACCGATGTCTAACCTCAATATTGCTCACCTTATTATACTATTTCACACTGGAGGTATAACGCAGGCACCTATGATCAAACACAGCTAATCTTTTCATATCTTCCACTGTCAATGGTCAGGTCTCATAGCTAGCCACAAAGGAGGTCGGAGCGGACTGCTGAGCATTATACGCGTCCTTTGGTCGATAGCCAGCCGGATATCACGGATATTACGCTAGAGACGGCGTAAACTGGTATATGCGAAACTAGCCTTCTGTATATGTGCTGAAATTTCGTCAGCGCCGTGTAGTCAGGCATAGACTGCCTAGTTAACATCGTCAAGACACTGAAGATCAGTGGGTTGAGACTACTGATGATATGGTGCAAAATCATTGTCAATAGCGCAGATGTATTTATTCTTTGTAATCGCTCAGATCCATAAAATTTTCAAGGTTTTTCAATGTAATTATCTTTTCTTCTATAGATAGATATCCGTTCATTATAGTTTCTCTGAGTTCTTTTTGTTACCTTTTTGTGATGTGTATAGTGTGGCCGGTTGAAACTGTTGCATTTCTGTGTAATTTTCTATATTGGAAACTCAGTCATACAGTCATATCTGACGTGTTTTAAGTTTCCCCTACTGAAGAATTTAGCATTCGCATTAACAGCAATGAATGATGAGACATTTTAGCATGAAGTTCACCGATAATATTTTTCGATCTTAACCCGCCTCCCCCTCCTTTTTGGTTTAATAAATGAAATACAAGTTTTCTATAGTGTCGTTTGATTCTGAAAAAGGATTAACTAACCACTCTAAAAGTTTGTCCAGTTTGTTCAGAGTTTTGTCTGAACCCAATCATTATCGCAATTTTACCTAACCGATAGCCTCTGTGGCTGCAGGAAAGATTTGAAAGGATTGTAATCTATGGTGAGAATCACACAGTTAAATAAATTTCAAATGTGTACCTCCACAGTGGTTATCTGTATTTTGAAAACATACTTAGTTTTGAAAAAAAAGTCAATATGTGAAGTCTCATAACTGCATCTGTTATATTAACTTGTTTTATTCTGAAGATTGCATGACGATGTTCCAACAAGCAGGTGATTTGTGTCTAGTCTGGAGCTGTCTGTTGACTAGAAAGATATGGAATATAAGAGTTAAAAAAGGGTATCTTATAACGTCGTATACTTTTAACTTAGAGTGATAAGGAAGAGGTGTAATATAGAACAGTGTACAATTGTGAATTGAATGACAACAGTCAACACATTTTTTTTTTCATTTTTTTTCCTTTCACGTTCCCCAGTGGAACATAGGGCAACTTCAAGCTAGAGGCTTGAAGTTTGTGTAGCAGTGGTGTTTATTTTTTTACAGGATGGGGTTGCTAGCCTCATTCCCAACCTTTCCTCTTTACCAGCATTATTTATAGCTTAGCCAGGTAAAGGAGTGCGTCCGTGGCCGGAGATCGAATCCCGGACCATGTGCATTTTCGGTGAGCATCCTAGCCGCTATGCCACCGACGCATGTCTATACATTTGGGTTTAGCAAATAAAGCCTTCTCGAGACATCTTGATTGCATCGGTGGTTCATTGCTAACACACTCGCACACACACACGCACACATGTAGTCTGGAGTTTGATCCTCGGCCGACGTACTTATTAACCTCCTCTCACCTGTAGTAAGTCAGCTAGAAAGGCAACGTTGGGCAAGGAGGCGACAAACCTCACACTGTAAAAAGGAGAGCATTATTATTTTTATTGTATCCTTTAATTCCTAGAGGAACATAGGGCTTCAGCTGCGCTTCTCCATTGCCTTCGGTTTTCTGCCAACGTTTTCACCCCGCTCCAAGTCTGCCCACATGCTTTCATCTTCTCTTCACATGACCTCCTCCAAGTCACCCTTGCACTGACGACCAGCTCACCGCTTCCCTTTCAGGTTCCACTCGAGGGACAGCATTATTGCTACTGAAACCTAAAAGCACAAGATTAAAGGCTTATGTTCCACTTGGAACGGAAAGAATTAAAATGTAAACTCATGATGTTTTGTGTAATGTGCGTCGGTGGTACAGCGGTCAGAACTCTCTCGCCAACCATGCACATGGTCTGAAGTTCAATCCCCGGCCGACTCACACCTGATATCAGTGGTGGTTTGGCCTGCTAAATTTGGGCTAACGATATCACATGCTGAAAATTCAATACTTGTACTGAAATACTGTGTGCAATCAAGCTATATTAAAATTAATTTTAAAAAAAATTACTAACAAGATTTACCAGTAGTATGTAAAGAAACTTCCATTGGAAGGCAATTTCCAAATATTGGAGAGATGGATTTGAAGTCAAAGAGAGGAAATCCACTAGTAACACAATACGAATGACAGAAGCAGCAGCACAACACGGAAGATCGATGCAAATAACGATTTTAACATATGGTATACATCATTCCCCTATATATATATATATATATATATATATATATATATATATATATATATATATATATATATATATATTGACAGTAATAAAGTGGTCAAAAATATACACATAATTGCGTAGGCGGTTAGTTTTATATTAAAAGTGTATATAGGTGGTTGGTAAGAGTAAGTTAATTATTATTTCATTGAATCACTAGTCGCACCTTACGTGTACGTGAATTCTGTGTAAATTTCAGTGAGTTAAAAGAAATGACATTATAGCAGACAGTTGTTGAATTTCATTCATTACACATTAGAGATTAGATCGTTCTTAGTGAAATATTTTAATATTTTTGTCAATCAGTATATGTTTTTGCATTGATTAACACCTTTTCTAATTATTATTATTATTATTTATTTTTTGAAAACCAATTCATTTTAAGGTTCGTAAAGTTCTTGCTTCTCATGGTCACGGTAGTAGTGGAAGTAAACCAGCTCTCCTGGAAGCTGCACTATTAGCAGCGGTTAATTTATGCAAAGCATCAACTTATATTAATATAAATGATCGAAATAATATTCTATTCATTTTGGTGAATTCAGTATATGCAGATTTACAGGTAAGATGTGGAAAGGGATGCATTGCTCTCATATATATATATTATTAATTATAACTCAATTGTTTTAACTCATTTTTCCGGTGGATCTTTGTCGCCACTGCATTCCTTCATCGCGGAATTGTGGATGCAGATGAAGAACTTTTTCTGACTTTCAACATTATGTAGACACTTATTCAACTGCTCTGGTGAATTGACTAATATTGATCACTATGATTGTCATAACTCATGACCTTTGTTACTACCCTCTGTCATGAACAAGAAAATTGTATATAAATGTAAAACGTAAAAACAATTAGTCCCTTTGATAAATTTGAATAAGGCATTTAGAAGACAAATTTCGCCGTGAGATGATATCGTCATTTCGTAGTTTCTTTACAACCGGTTTACAACTAACAATAATAAAATAAAGCTCATGACAATTACTCAGTTAAATAGAAAACAAAAGTACATAATAATGACTAATCATATTTTAATAGGTCAAGTAGTCAGTTGATGTGATGGTAGGCGAAGGTTGAAGTCTATTATTTTGACTGTACACACGAGTTTAGACTGTATGTGATTAGTCCCCAAAGTGCTTCCAATCACCTTCAATAACCAACCGTGAATTAGAGTTATTTGAAATAATTGTGAAACAGTCGATCCCTGTACCTACCTACGATTAAAGGATGAAATTCTCTGGACTCTATTTCAAATTGTATCTACAAGTTCACCTGCAGTTGCGGCGACACACACCTATATAGGTACCAATGTCGTCGAAAAGAACATGTTCCAAAATGACTATTAAATCATATCGAAAATCCCAACGCGATTAATCTGAATAGAAATCCATCATCATCATCCATTGCAAAACACTTATTATTAATGTCAGATCATAAAATCAATCGATATTGATGACTGTTTCAAAATTATTTCACATAACTTTAATTCAGCGTTGTTTATTGAAGGTGATGGAAGCACTCTGGGGATTAATCACACACATTCAACTGAATTTTTGATTTTCCCGTCGAGCCTCGGTGGGAACATCATCACTCACTGAGAAATGCAGGTCAATCCAGATAGCTGACGAGTTCCAAATAGGACGAAATGCGCGTTATCCTGGATTCAACTGCTAGTCATTATCCACCAATTAAATATTAGTCACATACAGCCTAAATTGTGTGTACAAAAAACAATAGACTTCAATCTTCACCTACCGTGAACTGACTACTTGACCTATTTTAAATATGATTAGTATCTACTTTTGTTTTTTATATAACTGAGTAATTGTCATGAACTTTATTTTATTTTGTTAACCATGTTAGTTGTAAAGCGGTTGTAAAGAAACTACGAAATGGTATTATTGTTATTATTTTATCCTTTAATTCCTAGAGGAACATAGGGCTTCAGCTGCGCTTCTCCATTACCTTCGGTTTTCTGCCAACTTTTTCACCCCGTTCCAAGTCTGCCCACATACTTTCATCTCCTCTTCACATGACCTCCTCCAAGTCACCCTTGCACTGACGACCAGCTCGCCGCTTCCCGTTTGCGTTCCACTCGAGCAATGGCCTGTCTTGTGATGTCACTTAATGGTTTGTTTTCTCAGAATGTGGCCAGCCAATCCACATACATTTCTTCTTGCCTGTTTGTTGCACAATCGGTTCCTACTGAGTTGGTACGCTCATTGCCAGAGATCCCTCCGTGTTGCTGATCTTTTCTCGCCGGCCGGCCATCTGATCTTGAGCGAAGTATTGAGCGAAGATAGCTAGCTGTTAATGAAGGTTTGTAGTTTTTTTTGAGGGGCTCTTTATGATACGCTGGCCAAGTCTGTGATCCGTACAGTGAGTAGCACTGACTGACTTCACATTGGAGTTGAAAATGCGGATCTTATTTTCATTTTCATGCTGAGTGGTGAGTGTTGACCTCCATACAGACTTAAGAGTAATGAAAGCTTGTCATGCTTTGCTTTCCCGATCCTCGCTACTTTGATATCCTCGTCAGTTCCGTCCGCCTGTAATTGAAACGATGCTTCTCAGGTAGGTAGGTAGGTAAAGGAAGGTCGTTTCTTTCAGATTTCTCGCATTTATGCTGGCTGATTGTTGTCTGTTGTTGTTGCTGTTGCTGTTGGTCAGGAATCTTCATCACATCTACAGCTCCTGTTTCCCTGAAATGTTATTGTAAGAGGTAAAGAGGAAAATGAAATCGCCTGAATGAGCCCCTTTGCTGAAGTAGGTGTTAACAGTTATCAGTGTAAAACTGAGTAGGGCTTCAACTGACAATATGCCCTTTTAGATGAATAATCTTGTTATTATTATAATTATTACTATGATTAATGTAAACAATTGTTTTCTTTATTTTGCATTTCATTTTCTTTTATGTTCACGTCGGCAACTACACAAACAACCATTCATTATCATAAATATTTACACATGAAGAATTTATTATTCAATCCAAACAAGCCATATCTTCGAAACAATCAAAATTTAGCCGAAACTGAATCATTACTTACAGAATTTTTTGTCGCTTATTTTCGTATTACACCGCATAATAAAAATCTTTTAAAAGTTTGCCTACAGACAACATCCCCAGCAATTTATCATACTGTACTCGTTTCTGGGCTATATCGGATTATTACACAGGTTAGTTCGAATGTGTAGTGTGGAGATAGATGCATTTTTGTGTGTTGCACTGTGTTACTTCCACGATTTGATTGATTTGATATGGTGTATTTGAGTAATACATTTCTAACAACCTGATCCCGCACACATTTACTTGTCAAGTCAATTTATATGGAAAAACAAATTAGGAGCAATTAAAGTACACAAAGTGACAAAAGGATTTAAGAATAGGTTGGAGAATTTCATCATCATGAACTGATATCAGTTAGAGAAGCATGCTCACTAGCGACTGGTAGTTAACCTTTTCAGGCAGTTACCTGGGATTCCAGTGGGAAGCTGTGGCCAGTAGGCTACGCCAGGTTGAAGGTGAGGCAGTAACTCATCGAGGAAGACATTATGAAGTGGTCACGCTGTGTCGTAAATTGGCAGAAGTTAGAATTCATGGATGGTTGGATCGGTTCCAGGTGGCTTAATGGTCTACAAGCTCGCTAGCCTTGTAACTAGAAGGTCCTGGGTTCGAACTCTGGCGGTGGGTGTATACTGCTGAAGAGTGCTAAACTAAGATTACGAGACAGCTGTCCAGTACTTAGAGCTGGTTTTTAAATGGTTCTCTAACTGATGTCCGCTCCAACCAACAGAACAAAATCCCTACAAAACCAGTACCTGGAGATTTAAGAATAATAAGCATAATTAACACACTTGGTAATTCAGTCACATAAGGATTACCAAGGTAGGTTAATAGTAATAATAAATTGTTTTTGAACTCACCAGGGGGGTGCTTAAGTTTACGGATAGCTATAGCGCCTCAGCGTATTTCGGTAAGCGCCTTTGATCATATTTTTGGATGACCCTCAAAGCTGTATTAATATCAGTCCTATGATTCATGTCGATTAGATGTTTGGCTGTAGACGAAGTTAGCAGTTTGGTACGTACGTCACATTTTTCAAACAGTCTCCGTCTTCTAATCTCCAAATTTATAAAAGGGACTGATTGTTTTAGGCTTTTGAAAAGAAGACTCCCTCCATGCTTCTTAAACTTAAGTGTAACGTAGCATCTGAGAATGACTATTGTTATTCTGTGTTAAATTTTACTTATTATTATTAGGTATGACACTTAAGCACGTGTGGCATACTTTGGTGATTGCTGAGACAGAAAATTGTGCAATTGCGTACAGTGAACTGGTCTCTTTCTTGAAGTTTTACTAAAAGATTCCAAGACAAAAAGTCCAAGTCTACCGTATTCTACTGCAACATTTGTTGAAGTCTAACACTTTTATTCCTAACATATAGTATTCTTACTATAATGCAGTAATTCATTAAACCCACATAACATGTTTGTTTCTTTTTCGGTTAACTGGTATAGTCACGTTTTGCGGAAAATTCCCATTGGGATATATGGAAAGTCATAACAACAAGTGATTCAGTGAATGAGTCTCTTTTCGACTACTTTATAATCAAGCTGTACAGTAGTACACATATTTTTTAAATAATAATGTGAATTGTGATAAGGAAATTAGTAATGCACTTTATAAATTAGTTCATAAAATGTAGAAATTTCAAAAAGGGGGTAGAAATAATAAGATGACTAGGCGGCAACAGTACAAAATAGACACCAAGTCAAATGACCTTGAAAAGAACCAATCAGATAGCCCAGTAAAACAAATGTATGCTTTTCATAATATTAGATGTTTGGGGGCAGTCGGCCACAGGAAGCCTTGCTCGACCTAGGTTTCGTGGTAGTTGGCGCTCACTGGTCAGTCAGCAAGCCGTATCTGCAACCTTGAAGCAACTCATGTCTCTTCTGAGATTTGAACCCACGTCACCCATTGAGAGCTGCAGTCAGAGACGTCACACTAGTTACTAGTGTCCAATCAAAGTATCCACTACAGTCCTACAGGAGGTGAATCGCGAACCCGAATTGCTCAGTGGTAACGTCTCTGACTGCAGGTGGCACTGAGTGACGTGGGTTCTAATCTCAAAAGGGACATGAGTTCCTTCAAGGTTGCAGATACGCCTTGCTGACTGACTGGTGAGTGACAACTAGCATGAAGCCTATGTCGAGCAAGGCTTCGTGTGGCCGATTGCCTCCAACTACATAATATCATCAAATCAATGTGCACCGTGATGGCAAGCTACCTAGAATGGTGGCCACATTGCAAAAACCTGACTGATAGAATTCAGTCTGCACCAAAGAAAGGCCTAGACACACATCACACTAGTTACTAGTGTCCAATCAAAGTAGATTTTCATAATCTCTGTTGCAAGTTCCATCTAAACCTTAACTCTGAATCAGGATGATGCTGTACAAAAAAGATTGTGAAAAGTTGTAAAGTTGAGCTATTTCGTTGGTTAGTTCAAGATCATTTTATTGGGGTGTCTATTGTTTACTGTTGCTGAGTTAGTAACTAAAACATTACGCGGCTAGGTGATAATTATGGTAAGACAAATCCACAAAAAAAAACATGTTGAATTAAGTAGATAAAGGTGACAATTGAGATAACACCGAAAAGTTTTCAAAGTGAAATTGATAGTAAGAGAAATAAAAATGCGAAATGGATTTCTCCCACGTTTTACATACAGATAAGAAGATGCAGTCAAAACCTATGAAATGCAACTTAGCGTCTATAACCAAGAAAATGACTGAAGATGAACCTTGAATTCAAAAGTGACTTTCCTGCCAACATCTTTAAATGAAGGATGCTACCATTCTTCGCAGAGCTCATTCGCTTGCAGCATCGTTGAGAATAGCGTCTTCCAGTATACCATTACTGTCCAGTAATCTAAAAGACAAGATCCCACAATTCACCTGCTTATGTAGAGCTGGGTATATCGGTTTTTCGACACGGGTTTTGTACAGGAGGGTACAAGAGCGTTATCCTGCGTGGTTACGAACAGGCGGAAGTAAGACTATAAGGAGCGCAGTAATTGAACATCTGGCCTGATACTGGTCACCTCATCTCTACAGTCTGTTCCTGTGAAGTTATATACAAGGCGAAAAGTAACTTACCTAAATCATTACCTATCCGACTTGCCTGTATTGTTGAAGCTTTGGCCATTGAAATAGAAAAGCCAGATCTTTGTATATACAGATACTTTGTCCAACCCTTCCAACTCTCATGATCTTACAGGATTTCATCATGAGCTGATATTGCTTAGAGAACCATTGGAAAACCTGTAGGGAGTACTGGACAGCCAGCTGTTTCGTCAGCCTAGTTTGGGACTCTTCACAGTACGCATACACCGGCGTTCGAAGGCGTACGTATACCATTAGGCCACTTGCCTTGTAACCAGAGGGTCCTGGGTTCGAATCCCCTCTGGTGGGTGCGTACTGCTGAAGAGTCCCAAACTAGGAAGAAACAGCTATCCAGTACTCCCAGGTTTTCCAGTGGTTCTCTAACCAATGTCAGCTTATGATGAAATCCTGTCACCAAACAACCAAATCCCTGCAAACCAACACTTGAATTCTTATGATCTTAATCTGTCTATACTAAAGTGTGATAATCCTCACTCATACTTTAACTCTACTTTTGTTCATACGTTTTGTTTATTCATTTTGTATATCCTTCCCTTATTGTGTTGATTATTGTCATTGATTGTTATTCATTTCACTTTTGAACAATAGTCACGTTTACCATGGTGGCCTGATGTCAGTCCATTTTATTCCAAATCAACAGAAATTCGTACAATGTTTTTAGAAACATTAAATCGTGTTAATCATCATCCACCAATCCGAATTACGCAAGTAAGTCTATAAAAAAAACAAGCAAAAATATGTAAATGTCTTTCAAAAACAATATTTATCGATTATGAAAGAGATCAGGTGTTATTTTATTGATTGATTGATTGATTTTCAATCTAGGGAGAAAATTATTTTATAGGTTGACTATTTCTTTCTCTTCCTCCTCTTAGCAGTCTTAGTGGATTACATTTACGATAGATAAAATGCCACTTCTAAATAAATGTCATTGATGAGTGTCTGTCGTCCCATCTGACTTGATAGGTCTCATTGGTCAAGACTTGCTACTAGAATTTCAGAAATTGTAGCGCTTCTAGTCAGCGATTTAACGAGCAATTGATTAACTTTTATGGGTTTTGATTTTTGATTTTTCAACGATTTAAACAGAAACGAAATAAACACCTAAAAATTATTGATATTAAGTATTAAACCTAAGCACTGTGGTGGTGGTAGAGTATAACTCCATTATGGATAAGATTTTATTTTGATAAATCACACAGTGGTGGTGTTAGTGTTATACAGTAATATTAACTGATGTGACCACGTTTCGAGCACAAATTATCACTGCTGCACATAATCATATCAGGTCATTCACTCACACGACCTTTTTCCTTCATTTATATACACGAGTGGAATTGACTAGATATTTGAATGAAAATCACTATAGGATAATGTACATTCAGAAATAATATTATGAGTGTTATTGATTGAATACAATCAGATGGGAAATAAGAGGAGTGATTTTTTAGTCATAATAAGTAACTTGTTAGAATCCAGTTGACGAAGTCCCAAACAGGACTAAATGCTCATCCTGGATTCGACTGCTAGTCACCATCCTCCAGTCAAATTCTAATTAGACACCCAGACATAGTCAAAGCATCCGTTCAAGAAGGCGACATGTCAACCTAAGACCGAGCACTTCGGTTCAATCAATCGACGGGGAAATCTCAAATTCGATTAAAACAACAATAATAATTTCTTCATAGTAGTAAGTAACTTCAACCATAAAGAAAGACACTGTTTTAGTGGATGACTGTTGATATTAGACTATTAACTGACACAGGCAGACCACTTTCTTCAGGCTATAGATCAAGAGAGTCAGTGAAAGACTGCCGTTTTTACGGAAACACCTGAGGTGTCACAAGGTGTCACAAAGGACGTATACAGTGTTGCACTTCACTTCGTCCTACTTTATAACTGTGAGAAACAACTGCTGAAATTAGAACATATTGAATAATTTCAAATTTTCAGCAATGGTTATTCCTCCACGTTCCTAGTGAAACAACTTCAAGCTATAGGCCTGAAGTTTCTGTAGCAGTGGTGTTTATTTTTACAGGATAGGATTACTAGCCTCACGCCCAACCTTTCCTCTTTACCAGCTTTATTTCTGGCTTAGTGAGGTAAAGGAGTGCGTCGGTGGCCGGGGATTGAACCGCGAACCATGTGCATGGTCGGTGAGTATCCTAACCTCTGTGCCACCGACGCAAAAAGTTTCAGCAACAGGTGCCTTTATTCAGTAGCCTGAATTAGTCAGTAATATATTAAAATTAAGCGTAAAGTGTTGCTTAATAAAGCTACGGATCGATTGATGTAAGTATGAATTTTCATCGATTCGAGCGACTAAGACAAGTAGTAGTGTTCATCCGCAACAACTGTCTTCTTCGGCAAGCAATTTTACCTGAAATAGAGTTTTCTCAACAAATGGTCAGATTTCACCATAGCAAAATAATAGTGTAGTCTATGCAGCCACTGACTGTCGTTATTCTCTACGACGTTGGAAATGTAGGCTGTTTGTGTTTGTGTTATCCTATGACATTTCAGTTTCTGAAAATGTTGACTAATCTTCAGTTTTATATATTCTCTTCGCTATACCTATGCCAGTTCATTGTAATATTATCTTATTTCTGCTGTCTCTCTCTGCTTTGCTTCTTTTTTGAAGTGTGATCATTCACAAATTCCATATGAATTCGATACAGAATTTCATCATTAGCTGACATGAACTGAAAACATTGGATAGCGGCTGCACTATATCGTGAATTGTCAGAAGTTAGAATTCATGCACTGGCCATTGTATCGGGTCCCAGTGACTTAATGGTCTACGAGCTCGCCTTGTAACCAGAAGGTCCTCGGTTCGACTCCTGCCGGTGGTGGGTACGTACTGATGAAGAGTCCCAAACTAGTGTGACGAAACAGCTGTCCTGTACCCTTCGGAGGTTTTCCAATGGTTCTCTAACTAATGCCAGCTCATGATGAAATCCTGTAACTGATCAATCAAATCCCTACAAACTAATACTTGAATTCTGTATATGAATTCATTAGTCAGTTCGTTCGTTAGATATCTTACATTCCTTTAATTATAAGAGACATTATTTCATTTTATGCATATTTTTTGTTCAATTAATTAATTAATAAATAAAATTGTCGATGTTCATTGGATATTTATTCCTGGAGTGTGATTCCAGTTTACACTTATTTCATTATTGGCATAATCCCTTCCTATGTATTTCAAGTAATCTGCCTACCTACTTACCTACCTACCTACTTATATATTTATTTATTTCTTTTTGTTTATTTTGGACTAAACAACACCGTATAAGCGATGTGAATGCAGGTTGAATTATCACCCTTTATCAATTACTAGTGTATATTTGGAATATCGAGGATAGAAATACTTTTACTTGTCGAGTGTAAACAACTCCCTGCCTGTTTCATTATCCCCTTTTCTTCACACAATAATAATAATAATAATAATATAACAAGATTCTTATTCGTGGTATTTCAGTAAACAGTATGAATCATATATATATATATATATATATATATATATATATATATATATATATATATATATATATACCCTTAGGAATTGTAACCTGTAGAATAATAATCAATAAGCCTTCAATAATTCTGTTCCTATCACTGTTGCAGGTTGAAACGTTTCACTATTGGTTTAACATGGCTAAAGCGATTAAATAGGTGTCGGTATTACTGACTGATTGCTGTATAATAATTAAAAAGTTTCGATTAAGCCAACTACTGCTAACGGAATCCTTCGAAGAAGTGAAGACGGGAGTAAGACAAGCTGGCTGGCTGACTGCCTACTATCGCCAATGATTTTCCTGATTCCACTAGATTGGATAATGCGACAGACAGACAGCGGGCCAGTTAGCGAGGAAACAGGCATAAAATTGACCCACACAAAAGAAAATCTGGATCTGGACTTCACCGATGCGATATATATGTCTGATTTCCCACAATCTGGAAGATATGCAGGTGAAGAGTAACAAGTTGGCAGAAGAAGCATCCAGAGAAGATAGGACATCCTTCAGATGGACATAGAGACAACAGAGGTGATGAAGATGAAGGCGGACGGAACTGACGAGGATATCAAAGCAGTGTGGATCGGGAAAGCAAGACAAGCATTCATTACTCTCAAGTCTGTGTGCAGGAGGTCAACAGCCCCACTCAGCATGACAATGAAGTCAGTCAGTGCTACTTACTATACGGATCAGAAACTTGGCCAGCGCGTCATAAAGAGCACCTCAAACAAACTACAGACCTTCGCTCAATACTTCACTGAAGATGAGATGGCCGGCCAGCCAGAAAACATCAACAACACGGAGGGATCTCTGGCAATGAGCGAACCAACTCAATAGGAACCGATTGTGCAACAAATAGGCAGGAAGAAACAGAGATGGATTGGCTGGCCATACTCTGAGGAAATCATCAAGTAACATCACTAGACAAGCCATCGCTCGAGTGGAACCCGAAAGGGAAGCGGCGAGTTGGTCGTCAGTTCGAGGTTGGGGTGACATGGAGGAGGTGATGTGAAGAGGAGATGAAAGCATGTGGGCAGACTTGGAGCGGAGTTAAAACGTTGGCAGAAAACCGAAGGCAATGGAGAAGCGCAGCTGAAGCCCTATGTCCCTCTAGGAATTAAAGGAAATAATAATGATAGTAAGAATACAGGATGGTCGGATAAAAAATCTAGTGTGATCATAACTAATGTGACGAATAATTGTTTATGCAATCAGGGATTAAATATGTAGAAATGACAAAATAAACGGGGAGTTTGGATATGGTAGTATAAATACTGGAGGGATTAAGAAAAACTTAAAAGTAACATGAATAAACAGGAAGTTTGGATAAAAAAGGCAATGGGATAGTCGTTACTAAAAGAATTACCTGTTTATGATGGACATGGCAGGGGCAAGGGTTGGACATATTTCTTTTGGATCCATAGCATGGGTTTGAGCTTTCAGATAGCTAGTCGCTCGGCTATGCCCAGATGTCTTAATTTGACACCCTTGATAGGTTTCTGAGACGTTCTCACCCATTTATCATAAATGCAAGAATATTCAGGATTCGTGTGGTTTGGACTGATTCGATTGTCTAAGTTGAGTGGAACGGGGGACACCACTGATGAGATCGGCCACAAACCAGGGAAATGGCCGTTCGATGTTTAGATCAATTCTGTTTGGCTAGCAAGCGAGCAAGCCTTATTGGTCAGTATGAGTGGTATGCAAATACTTATCTGAGTCAATCGGTACTGTGTAGTTTTACAATATTATCTTATTAGATATTTTCTCGCTCAAGAAAATATCTATCTCAATGATGGAAGCTAAAAAAGCGAAAGAGCAAGATCATTATCACCAATGAAAATATGATCCTAGAAATGATTTCCATTTTATTAGTTGGTATATTTGGTCTATATTTAAACATGTTTGTTAATCACTGGCTGATTCGTTTGAGTACCAGGCTTCTAGGAATTCCCTGACTGCACTTTTGGTGTTTCTTCTTTCTAAAATTTCGACATTATCCCAATCAAACTGATGTCCATAATTATCTGTATGCATTGATATGAAAGAGGAATATATATCATGTCTTTTCATCAAAGTTGATTTGTGTTCATGGATTCTGATTCAAAGGGGACGCCCATTTTGGCCGATGTAATGCCGGTTACAGTTCATACAATTTATTTTGTAAATGGTATTAGTTTTATCTCCTTTTTCTGTTGGATCTTTCGGTTTGCACAATATCGATGAATGAAGTGATTTGAATGGCTTGTGTGCTATATCTATTTCAAACGGTTTCAATATTCTAGCTGTTATTTCAGAGATATTTTTTATATATGGTAGGATGAATTTTCTTCTGGTGGTTTCTTGTTGGTGCTGTGATTCGATTTTAAACATGTTTTGATGAAATTGTGCGGATAGACATTCTTTTTGAAGATCGTTAGTACGTATTTTCCTTGCATTTACAAAATCTCAGCTTACAAATTCAGTAACTTGATTAATCATCGTTCTTGATCAAGAAGTAATTTTTACGTTGTGAAGTTTGTCAATCGGTAGAGATAAGAAAACAATGTGTAGATTGTCAGATTTGATAAGTGTATGAAATTATAAAAACAGCATGTGTTCACATAATGAAAGTTGTGTATGATATTCGGCTTGGTCTTTTCACTTCATGGTACGTGTGTGTGTGCGTGTTGGAACAGGTTAAATCCTGTCTGAGTTCATCATTCCTATTCAGAAAACTTGAATTTTATTGAATATGAAGTGCTTCTGATGATATGAGATATTCTTCTTTGTGATTTCTAAAATTTTTCTGGATGATTTCAATATTCTCAAAATCAATTTCGTGGCCTAATTCTATAAGGTGTAGACGGCCTATGTCTGATGATCGTTTGAGCCTTCCCACATCAACTGAATTTCCCGGGGGTAGGATTGAGGCAACTCTACAGTGTTCATTTCTTCTGATAACCTTGATTTCTCTCTGGCGCTAGGTTTGTCCGATGTATATGGTATCATATTGCAAGCATTTTTTATTTTACAGACGCAATTCAATTGTGAATTCTTTTTTATAATAATAAATATCATATAATCAATGTCGAACCTGGCCGACGCACTCTTTTACCTCGCTAAGCCAGAAATAATGCTGGTAAAGAGGAAAGGTTGGGCATGGGGCCAGCAACGCCATTCTGTAAAAATAAACACCACTGCTACAGAAACTTCAAGCCTATAGCTTGAGGCCGCCTTATGTTCCACTGGAAACGTGAAGGAAAATAAATGCCCAAACTATTAAACGTGAACTTGATTTGGACATATACGAAGTCAAAAGTTATTTATCCATAAAGGGAAAACATTATCTTCATTGGAAAGAAACCAAATATAAAAAGAAGTGATAACTTTGATGCCTTTTATAAAAGTAATATCTATGCATATATGTATATATATTGGTTTAGCTTTGTTCTGTGTGTTTATGCATTAGTTTTACAAACTAACAGGCGAAATCTTATACACTTTTCTCTTCTCCTCAGAGTCTCACTTTCAGAGACAAGATGAATTTAAAGAATAAGGATAAAACTGAAGACAATTTAATGAGCAAATACAATCTATTATTGAATATGGTTCGCTTATTGAATGCCAACCCGTTATTAATGCTTTATGTAAGTGAAAATAATTATCTTTAATATATATATATATATATATATATATATATATATATATATATATATATATATATATATATATATATATATATATATATATATATAATTTATTTTTGATTACAATTTGATTCCACACCGTATTTTTTTGGTACAGGTATAGAATTTTCAGCACGTGATATCGGTAGCCCAAATTTTGCAGGTCGACCATTAATAATATCAGGTGTGCGTTGGCAGGGATGGAACCCCGGACCATGTGCATGATCGGCGAGAGTCATAATCGCTATGCCACCGATGCACAACTAAAGGGAGGACCATGAGGCCTCCCCACTGACAAAAATTACACGCCTAAGCGCACCCGATTAGGGGCCGTCGCAAGTTTCAACCCACCGAGGTGCGATGGTGAGCCTCCATCCGGGTTCAGAGCATTCTTGATCACCCTGAACCCGGCGCCATATATATATAATATATATATGTACTCTTATTATATATGTAAATGGCGACTATAACATAACTAACTAAACCATCATTTACTATTATTACTTCTTAGGGTTCCTAGTTGATCATAGGACCTAAGCGGCATCTCACCATCTCACTAGGTTCTCTCTAGTCCTTTTAGCCGCCTCCACGCTTTCTTATGAATGTTTGTTGTTTTCCTCACACGATCTCCTTCTTTTTAACCTCGGCCGCACCCATAACTCACCAGTTCCTGCTGAGGTTCTACTCGATGGCGTGATGAGTGATATCACCAAAACGGTTCCCTCAGTATATGTCCAGTTCATCTCCATATCTCTCTGCATATTTGTTAGGTAGAAGGTTCTTGGTTGTTTCAATACTAGAATTCGTTTTAGTTTATCCTTTCTGGGTGGCCATCTCATCTTCAGCATCGAGCCTGTAGAGGCAGCTGTTGGTCGAAGTCTGCATTAGTCTGTTGAACCACAGAAGCACTGATTTGACATTAGTGTTGCAGATTCAGATCTTGTTCGTTATCTTGCGTGCAGTAGATTTCATCACTGATTTCAACAGATTAATGAACGCTAGTCTTGCCTTTTTGTCTTTAACATCTTCAGCATACAACTAAACTGTTACACGCAAAATTGTTTGGTGATGTGGGCATTTGGAATGCAAAAGATCCGATCGGAAACTTCATCGGCCATATAACTAACTATAAGTTATGCAGTGAATAGCTGATCTACTCAGCAATGTACTTAGAAATATTTAATGTTTTGTGTAGAGTGCATCGGTGGCACAGTGGTTAGAACTCACGCCGACGATGCACATGATCCGGGGTTCGATCCTCGGCCAACGCACACCTGATATCAATGGTGGTTAGCTTGCAAATTTGGCTTACCGATATCACATGCTGAAAATTCCATACTTGTACCAAAAATACCGTGTGTGATATGTAGTCACATGATGTCTGCTTTGTTTTGACAGTCTGATGTATTTGCTATGTGTATATTGATCGATATTCCATTATAACTGACAATATGCTTTATCTGTCCATTAACTAAGTAAACAATGTGTGACTTTTTGTCACATGACATTACAACCAATCAGAGTCCAATGATGGTAGAAAAACTACTGTCTACCTTTTCGGTTCATGTATGTTAGTCATTTTCATATATACTCTTGAATTGTACAGTCAACACACTCTTTCACACACTTTTCGTACTTTGGTACTTTTCCACTGACACTTTTGTGTGATAGTTAATTTTCAAGTATTACCTTTTTGTAGGGATTTTGTTGGATTGGTCAGAGGATTTCATCATTGGCTGACATCATTTAGAGAAGCACTGGGAAAACTGGGAGTACTGGACAGTTGTTTCGTCCTAGTTTGGGAATCTTCATCAGTAAACACAAAGCGTGCTCGTAGAGCATTAAGCCACTGGGACCCGATCCAATAGTTCTTGAATTCTAACTTCTGCCAATTCACGACATAGCGTGACCATTTCGCAATGTCTTCTTCGGTGAGTTATTGCCTCATCTTCAACCTGATGTACCCTACTGGCCACGGCTTCCCACTAGAACCTCAGGTTAACTACCTGGACAGGGCCAATCGCTAGTGGCTTTTGTAGGGACTTTGTTTGATTGGTTAGAGGATTTCGTCATGAGCTGACATCAGTTCCAAGATAAGGCGGTCACTCATCAAAGAAGATATTGCGAAGTGGTCACGCTATGTCGTGAATTGGCAGAAGTTAGAATTCAGGAACTACTGGATCGGGTCCCAGTGGCTGAATGGTCTACGAACTGGCTCTCCTTGTAACCAGAAGGTGCTGGGTTCGAACCCTGTTGGTGGGTGCGTACTGATTAGGAGTCCAAAACTGGGACGAAACAACTGTCCAATACTACCAGGTTTCCCAGTGGTTCTCTAACTGATGTCAGCTCATAATGAAATCCTCTAACCAGTCCAACAAAATGCCTACAAAAACCAATACGTGAAAATTAATCCGATGCTTACTAGCAACTGGCCCTATTCAGGTAGTTAATCTGGGTTCCAGTGGGAAGCCGTGACCAGTAGGGTAGAGAAGGTCGAAGATGAGACAGTAATTCATCGAAGGAGACAGTTAATTTTCCCGTTTTGGAAAATACACGTTTCTTCGTGAACGTGGTGGTCTTCTGATCTGCCTCTTCGCGTCAGGACAAATTAACTACTCAGCAATACCAGTCTGTACGTTATTTTTTTGTTTTTATTTTTTTGAACAAGGCATTAAGAAGACAAATTTCGCGAGATAATGGCATCATTTCGTAGTTTCTTTACAACCACTTTACAGCTAACATGGTTAACAATGATAAAATAAAGTTCATGAAAATTACTCAGTTAAATAAAAAAACAAAAGTACATACTAATGACCAATCATATTTAGATAGGTCATGTAGTCCATGATAGGCGAAGATTGAAGTCTATTGATTTTTGTAGTGAAATGTTTGTTCTTAAGGGCCCGAAAAATATGCACAAGTGACACACTGATGGATGAGCTTCGACATGTACATTCAGTTTTATTAGCTAATGGTTATCCGGAGAGCTTTATCACTTGTCACAGCAAAGAAAAACCACATCTCGAAAAGACAGCTTCTGTACCAAAGAAAGCTATCTTTATTAATCTACCATTCAAGGGTGACCAGATTATGCAGTTGACAACTCAAAGACTTCGATCAGCCATCAAACGCACATTCTACGCCGCCACATCTCTTTTTCTCACTTCCCGAACATTTTCGATCCCTGTTCCTACGATTAAAGGACGAAATTCTGTGGACTCTACTTCAAACTGTATCTACAAGTTCACCTGCAGCTGCGGTGACACCTATATAGGTAGAACTAACAGAATGTTCCAATGTCGTCTAAAAGAACATGTTCCAAAATGGCTACTAAATCATATCGAAAATTCTAACGCGATTAATCTTAGTAGAAATCCAGCATCATCCATTGCAAAACACTTATTAATGTCTGGTCACAAAATAAATATTAATGACTGTTTCACAATTATTTCACATAACTCTAATTCAAGGTTATTGAAGGTGATGGAAGCACTTTGGATTAATCACATACAGCCTAAACTGTGTATACAAAAATCAATAGACTTCAATCTTCGCCTACCCTGGACTGCATGACCTATCTTAGTATGATTGGTCATTAGTATGTACTTTTGTTTTTATTTAACTGAGTAAATTTCATGAACTTTATTTTATCATTGTTAACCATGTTAGTTGTAAAGCGGTTGTAAAGAAACTACAAAATGATATCATCTCGCGGCGAAATTTGTCTTCTTAATGCCTTGTTCAAATTTATCAAAGGGACTAATTGTTTTAATTTTATTTTTTTGATTTACAGCTTGATTCCACACTGTATTTTCGGTAGAAGTATGGAATTTTCAGCATGGATATCGGTAGCCCAAATTTTGCAGGCCGACCATACATATCAGATGTGCGTCGGTGCGGGCTCGAACCCCGGACCATGCGCATGGTCGGCGAGAGTCCTAACCACTGTGCCACCGGCCGTACGTCACATCTCATTAGCGCATATTTACACTCGGTCACATCATAATACCGACAACGACCCCATAACATATTGGCAACAAGTACACAAAAGTGTGGAATCAAGCTACAATAAAAAAGAGTTTCATAGTTTTAGATTTCAGGCATGTGATTTGCTGACTTAGATTAACATTAGTCTCGCTTATGACACCTAAAGGTTGTTGTGAGTGAGTGCTGTCCAGTTACTCGCGTTATTTGACAGTTCAATTCATCACTTGATTAAACTTTTATATCATTGATCAGATCCATAACGCTGAGAATTTGCTTGCATTACTTCTTGTGAAAACGGATATGAGAATATTTCAAGCTGATTGTAAAATTCGTAAAAAAATTAAGAATCGTTCTTGATTTGTTGTCAGAAGTTTTTTAAATATACAACACTGCTCTTGCATGGACTATAGATAACTTCCTATTTTTTTTTCCTTCACACTCCCCATTGGAACATAGGGCTTCAAGCCAGTGGCTTGAAGTTACTGTACCAGTGTTTATTTTACAAGATGGGGTTGCTAGCCTCATGCGTCGGTGGCCGAACCTCGGCCCATGTGCATGGTTAGCGAGCGTCCTAACCGCCATGCCACCGACGCGATAACTTCCTACGCTGTGTACTACAACTATGCTTATCTTTTGAAAAGTAACTGCATGTAATCCGAAACTATCATTGTATGCTGTAATTGATGTCCATAACATGAAATACACTTGCGAGGACATTCATAGCTGATGAATATTATGTTGATGGGATATCTGTATGCTCACTAAGTGAAATAGCAGTTGAACACGGTAGCAAAAATAGAACCTTATCTAAAGCAAGACTGTGAATAGCTTCTATCAGAAAAAGCTCAAATTACCTATTTTAGTCTCTATTTTAGTGTGAAACACCCCTTAAAATACTGTAATAACAAAAGACAAGGGCCAGGCAACAGATCGTTTATTGACGAAATCAACAGATATTTATAGATTTCTATGTACATTATTATTCGTTATTATTAGCAGAGAAGCAACGTCTTCTGATTAGTTGTTTTCTTGCTGAAGGTTATTCTGTCATCACTTTGTGGCCGTTTCTTAGACAGTCCAGTGATATATGTGCGAATCGTATCCACCCACGCTAAGTCTTCTCTGATTGGTCGTTGAGTTCCTCAAGGTTAAGCTTTGTTTTTGGTTTTTTTCATGATCAAGATTTGGGACGTAAGCATTGAGGTCATTTGGTGTCTACAATTTCGGTTAGTGGACAGCTCTCACCACAATACTATATTCTTTAACTAAGAGATCGGCTTCTAATGATCTAATTGTGTACGACCTGGCCTTGCTACCGGAAGCTTGTTGGTTCGAACCCCGGCGTGTGTGTGTGTGTGTACTGTGAAGAGTCACAAACTATTACGAAACAGTTTCCCAGTTCTTCCAGGTTTTCAGTGATCCTCCAACACGTGGTGATACCTGAAATAGATCAAATCTCTGTATGCTAACTCTTGAGAATATTAAATTATAAAATAATATTGTAAAAATATTTTATGAAGTAACAGTTTTGAAAAAAAGTACTAAATGCTAGTTGTCTGCGTATAACAAAACGATACAAAGCGTTTCTTGGTAAAAATTTCCAGGTAGCTCAAGCTCCTGTTTCACTAAGCCAAGAACACCAATAATCACAAAGTCAAGGTTCTTCATATGTTATTTTTTGTACCTATCACTAATACCAATGCACTGCAGTGTTATGTCATTTAATTTCCCTGCAATAATGCATACGGATCAGTACTTGGAGGAAGTCAATCATTTCCACTAATTAGTGACAAACTTTCAAAAAAATAATAGTAATGTAGTGTCAGAAGATACGAGAATAAGTAATGGACCCCCTTATTTAGTGAAAAGCATATCATACTGGTGCACTTTTTAGCCACGTTATAAGTTAGCCTAGGTCAGTGGTTGACGGTTGACCCAAGGTTAAACAATGCGGCGGAACGTTTTCCAACAGGATTATTTCATGTCCACATCGTAGACTCAATCCAAATTTAAGGAGTAAACACTTTTATTTCTACAGTAGGTGAATTAAAATGTCCATTTCAATTTTCGGCCGCTTTCTATCAATCTGCATCTCTATGTACTACTTATAAATCTTGTCAGTAACACATGCCACAGTACTGCAAAATACTGGTTTTTATTTTTAAATACTTTATGATAAAGCCAGAGAATCTTGTAAACAGATTCTGAGAAAAAAAAACAAATGACAGGGAGACACCTCCGGAGCTCAGTAGGAGCTAGATAAATGTTGTAATTTAGACGGGGAAACTTCAGTTATACAAACCTTTAAACGATACAATGAACTCGATGCACTCTAATCACTGACTGCAAGTTGAAAGTTTGATATTCTTTATTCCTAATTATATATATATAGCGGTAAATTAAATTTCATTGGGCTTTTTTTTGGTTTGTAGAGTCCACAAACACGATCAAGTTCCGATGCTCAGAAGGCTACATTCGATTTAATGAATGGTTTAATGTCTTTAATACAACAATCGATTATGTCTGATTTAGCCCAAGAAGCTATGGATGCCCTGCTTTGTCTTCATCAACCAGCCAACATTAGGCTATGGAATTTACATTCACCAGCACAAGCATTTTGGGAGATAAGGTGAGGCATAAGGTGTTTACTGTTATCTATGAATGTCATACTTTGTACCAGTTTTGATGGTGAGCTAAGAAAAAATTGTCGGTCAACTGGTTGCGTTCTCTGAGCTGGCTGGTTGAACTGTGATGCTCTCATTGCGCTCTTAGACTTGAAAATAGTGAAGTCTGCGCTGTACATTTAGCCTAGAAGGCTTAGTCATTAAATTGCTCAGCTCAGAGAAGGCAACCACATCAATATCGTTCACCTGAGCTACATGCTAACCTGGGATAAATGTTAATGGTTCTGATAGGAACACTTTATTTATATTATATTATATTAAAGCTGATGAATTTTTATCATTAGTGCATTTCAATATAGCGGAAATCACTCAGACATTTATTAAAAGACAAAATAATTGAGCGAGCAAAGAATATCCTTTTCGATAATTTCCTGTTTGGGCTCTAAAATTATATATATACATAGAATATCCTAGTGTTTTCTAAATAATATCGATTTGTTAAGTAAGATCAATGGATTTACAGTTCACTGAAGATGAATAAACTAATAATAATAGTAATTATATTATAGAAAATAGAATATCAACTAAAACTAGGGAATTTTTATTGGTGGATTGTGACCAGCAATGGAATCAAGGATGAGCATTTCTGAGTAAAATTAAATTAAATTTTTGCAAAAATTGAGGATCATTCGAACAAAGACAGCCAAGGTAAGGACAATGTCCGAACTAGCTTCTTTTGGACGCACAAATTAGGCTTCTTAATATGCAACTCAACAACCTCAGAAATATTTAGTAATCGAACTCTTAAGGCGAAGTTAAGATTAGTTGGTATGCGGTAAATGACTTTGAAAGCCGCCTCGTTGACATTAATCTTGTGTTCTGTATCCACAAAATGGGATAGAATAGCTTTACGAATAGATTTTGTTTGTCTTTTACTTAACCATACAGGGTAATCTTGTCTCATCTAGTAAAACCTAAGGCGTGGTTATTACTATAAATGGTTCAACAAATAAAAGTGCTTCTTTCAATGATGAGTATTCAACACCCGACGTTTGAAGCCATGAACTAAGTGTTTGCTGATGCTCACACAAACTGAGGGAAGGCAAAGTGGATTTTTCTGTGCAGCTGCTCTTGACAAATCCTGTAGTTTGAGTTTCGGATGTTCAAAATAACTTCTCTTTTTGAGATCGTCCTACAGTTAGGTGACCAAAGTGATATTGTCGTTCACATTATCAACATCTTTGCAACTTTTCATAAAACTGCTTAGGTTGATAAAAAATAGTGAATATATATATTTCTTTTGATTGATTTTTAATTAAATTTTGATTTTCCCGTTGATTCATTGGACTGAAATTTTCGGCCTCTGTTGATATGTCGGCTCTTTGTGCAGATGCTTCACTTCGATGATGTTTGATGGTTAACTTGAAGTAATTTTGTGGATGGTGAATGGCAGTAGTGGAATCCAGGACAACGGACGTCGTCAACTGGATGTATCTGCCCTTTCTAATGAGTGTTTTTCCTACCGAGGCTCGAACTCAGTACCTATCGTTTCAAACGTCAAAGGGTCATCCATTGAACCACTAGGAGATGGAGCTCTGACGTTTGGAACTATTGGTACTGAATTCGAGCCTCAGTGAGAAAAACACTCACTGGGGAGTGCGGGTGCATCCAGTTGACGAGTAGTCCCAAATAGGACGAAGTGTGCGTTCTCTCCGGGATTTCACTACTACTAGTCATCACCCATAAAATCACCTAAATTCAAGTGTTAGTTTGTAGGGTATTGATTGGTTACAGGATTTCATCATGACTTGACATTAGTTAGAGAACGATTGGAAAACCAACTGGGAGTACTGGACAGCTGTTTTGTCCTAGTTTGGATCTTTTCATCAGTACGCACCCACCGCCGCCAAGGCGAGCTCGTATACCATTGTAACTAGAAAGTCCCGGGTTCAAACCCCGGTGGGTGAGTACTGCTGAAGAGTCCCAAACTAGGCTGATGAAACAGCTGTCCAATACTCTCAGTTAGTTTTCCAATGGTTCTCTAACTAATATCAGCTCATGATGAAATCTTGCAGAGAATCACCTAAATGTTTTTCTTTTACCTTTTTGCAAACGACAATAATAATTATTCAAATGTCTAATATATGCCATCTCTATTCTTTCTTCTCTGATTTTCTTTCTATTCATCAAGTCCACAATTGTTGTATAGTATTGCTCAAAAATTAATCAATCGTAATATACCTAATTCCTGTGATGTTTTAAAGTGGTTAAGAGAAATACTTGTCTGTCGTATAAAATTTCTCCAGCAACACTGTGATTATGCAAATGTATCAGGCTGTTGTACTCTCGGCTTATTAACATCTGGTTTATCAGTTGGTGGAGATAACAATTCATCAAGTAATATCAGTGGTAGTAACAATACAGTTGTTACAACGACAAGTACATCGACTGCATCTGTTACAACAACGAATACAACACAGTCGAATGCGAATTCTGGTTAGTATTATCTGTTTTAATTATAACTTTTTTTCTTACGCATAACTGTGGCATTGACAATTGTTTGTTAAATAGTTATTCTATCTTTGGGGAATTACTCTGGTTAATTCAAACTACCCATTTTACTGCACGATGGTTTCTATGTAGCTCTCATCATTATTTCTGCACTAGGTTGCCTTCATACACCTTCGCATCGCTCACATTACGAAATCAATTATGCTGTATGTCTTTTAAGTGTAGAGAGCGCATCCGCTTGTAGAGACCAAATTCGTGTAATTGGTGTTGTTGTTTTTGGCTAATGATAAGTGGCCTCTTTTCTCTCATCTACTTTCATTTCTCTTTATAAAGCAGAAGATAATCAACCAACCGACAGCAACAAAAACCAGCACCAGTCACCACTGACGGGAGAGATTTGAAAAAGGTTACTTTCTTCACTAATTTAGAAAGCATCGTTTCAACCGCAGGTGGAAGGCACCGATGAAGATGTCAAATTCAGCCGAAATCGGAAAGACTAGATACGCCTTTATCAACTTGAAACAAGTTTGGAAACCTTCTGCACTTCGTCACAGCATAAAGAACAAGATTGTTAGTCAGTCCTTCTACAGACTTTCATCAACAACTGCCACTTACGCTGACTGGCTCCATGCTGAAGATCAAATGACCAGCCGGTCAGAGGGAATTAGCAACAAAAAACTGTGGCTAGCTGGGAACAAACCAACAGGCAAGAACCGACTGCTCAACAAATATTTAGGAGAAAATGGAGATCGATTGATCGGGCATACATTGAGCAGGCCGTCGAATGACATCGTGCTCAGTTCAGGCCACTGGCAAAGTGGAATCCCAAACGGAAGCGACAAGTGGGTCGTCGGTGCGAGGGTGGCATGGAGGAGATCGTACGAGGAGGAGATATGAGATTATAGGCAATTGTGGATGGAGATGAAGAGGACAGCCGAAAGTAGAAGAAAGTAGAGATGTGTGGTTGAAGCCCCATCCCTATGTTCCACTCAGAACCCAAGGGAATAATGATAACAATATAATACCTTATATCACCTCGGCCTGGTCAGCAGGCACTACTGGTTGATATGAGTGGAGTGCAGCTGTTCTCCCCAATCAATCATTAATAAATAGTTTTGTGCAAACATGCTATTTTCTCTTTATAATTAAATGAAGTGCCTAATCTGCCGCCCACTCAACTAATTTAGTGTACACGTTATCGGCTTCCTCATTCAGTATCCCTCGGGTCCATTGATTTACTTCTGCTTTTATATTCAAATGTTGTTATTCCATTATTTAAATAAAAAAACAGCCAAAATCCCTCGCTTTCCTATGATATTCATATAATTCCCCATCTGCAGTGATAAAACAGCAGTACATTGTTGCAGTCTAAAAACATCCTTGTACTGAAGAGCAATAGTCTACGTAAACTTTTTTGATAGAAAATAAATTAAGGAGCTTAAAAATCCACATTGTGAGTCGTATGAGGAAGAGAAGACGTTCAGCGAAGAGACTCTTTTCGACGGTGAATTCATTTATATAGGTGTATAATCGCATTTATATATAATTATTTGTGTGTGTGTGTGTGTACATGAGGTTTGTCGAGTCTAGATAATTAACTAGGTAATACAAGAATGATCTAATATAGAAACAAGGTTAATCAGACAGCAACTAAAGTAAGATTGAGTTAGTTAGTAAGTTAGATGACGTAATATGATTGACTAAAATGTTTCAGCTTAGGGTAGGATAGCAAGAGAGGTAATTACAGATGGAGAGTAATTAGAAGTGAGGTGGAGAATAATGCCATTTAAATTAGCACTAAAATTGAGCAAATAAGTCGGATGACGTAACATAAATGACTAGAAATTGAGTGTTGGTCAAGTCAGTAACACTGGTAGTGAGGTGTAGAAATTAAATCGGTTGGGGTTAGAGAACAAGAAGGTTGAAAATGTAAAATACTACAGTTGAAAAGACAAAATAATACTAATGAAGAGACAGAAAAAAAAGTAGAATTTACCTGTCAGGTATTCAAATAGATTACGTCCATTGCAAGTGTAGCAATTGAACGAACTTCTTCTGTATGCAGAGTTCAGGACTTAGCAAGTGAATTGCCATTGCTTCTGCAGTTTGAAGAAGTCTGATTCGTACACTTTTAGGCAGACTGCTCCGTATTCTGTAGACGACTTTGAAGTTTTTTTTGGGGTGAAGCTTGGTGTCCGGAATTTATCAGATATTCTAAGGTAGAGCTGCCGGATCATCGTTTTTCTCCCTTGTAAAATCATGCTGGTATGTGTTAGCTGATACGTTTGGAAAGCGAACGCTGGATACGACCGACATAGTTGGTTCCACACGAGCCGGGAACACTGAGTCCTTAGATTTTGCTAATATTTGTATTTTAGCCATGAAGTTCTGCGTTGAAAATACTCAAACACATTGTGAAAATTAGTAGTGTGTCATTTTATATCTCATATTTTAAAAGTCTAAAAGATATTTCCTTCATTTTAGGTATGAATTACACAGATGGAGGTGTATATATTGGTCCAGCTCCTGCCGGAAAGACAAATACTCAAAGCACTTCATGTCTTAGTCCATTTCTAGGACCATTGGGCATTAATCCGAAACGAAATCAGATGGCTTTGATCAAACTAGAAACTGTATTTTTCACTTACTTATGGTCACTGGATTTGGAGGCTGTTCTCACTTCAATGTCATGCTTTCGACTACTTTGTCAAGAAGCAGAACTTTGGAGTAGTGCCGCCGCTTTAGCTACAATAACCTCAGCTCCAGATAACGACATTTTACAGCGTTCTGATTGTGAATGTTATGCAGTTAATGCTAATACATCTTCTGCTCCGAATTCATCAGGAACCTCAGATTGGATGGAAGGCGTGGCTTTAAATAATCTTAGTGTGGCAGCACATCTTTACCATGGTGACACGACTCGCAAATCCCCTCCATTTAATACTGATCATAGACTTATAGTTCCATCGGTTTCTGTTGATCAAAGTTCATCGAGCAGCACACCATCGGAGACCACATGTATACGATTTCAAAATTCATCGTCATCTTACGATGGTGATAATCGTCGTTCAAATCTACCTGGATCTTGTATTGCCTTGTGTAACTGTGGGTGTCCACTTTGTACCCCTGTCAATTATTTGCCAGTATGTACAAATATTGATGGTATCCCGACAGCTCCACGATCTATTCAAGATTCTAGCTCACATTCCAGTTTCAGTACTTCACTCAATTCCGATAGTAATCCTACTTTTTGCACTGAATATCCTGAGGACAGTACAACGAACTTTCCTACTCATACATCTAATAAAGGCATAAGTCCTATTCCACATACAGCTATCTCATTGGGTAAATCTTGCCAATGGTCGCTGCCTGCACAATGGGCTTTCACTGATTTCCGCCTTCCAGATCTTTTACCAGTGTACAATGTCTACGCTGAAATAGCTGAGCACAGTCGTTCAATAGTCACTACAGGTCGTGCTCATCTACAAAAACAAATTTTAGCCTTATTGAGAAAAATTAATCACCAAACACAGGGGAACAAGCTCGTAAGTCAATTATATTGTCAAGCGAATTTTTACTGAATTACCAAGGTGTGAGTTATTCATATGCTAACCCGTATGAGATAAGGGGTAGAGTAAAATTGATTACATTCTATTCGGTTTATTAATTCGGAAACTGATCATAAAATTGAATTGATATATTATTGTTATTTTAACCTTTAATTCCTAGAGGAACATAGGGCTTCAGATGCGCTTCTCCATTGCCTTCGGTTTTCTGCCAACGTTTTCACCCCGCTCCAAGTCTGCCCACATGCTTTCATCTCCTCTTCACATGACCTCCTCCAAGTCACCCTTGCACTGACGACCAGCTCGCCGCTTCCCTTTCGAGTTCCACTCGAGCGATCGCTTGTCTAGTGATGTCACTTGATGATTTCCTCAGAGTATGGCCAGCCAATCCATCTCTGTTTCTTCCTGCCTATTTGTTGCACAATCGGTTCCTACTGAGTTGGTTCGCTCCTAGAGATCCCTGTTGCTGATCTTTTCTGGCCGGCCGGCCATCTAATCTTGAGTATTGAGTGAATACAACTGTTAATAAAGGTCTGAAGTTTGTTTGAAGTGCTGTTTATGACGCGCTGACCAAGTCTATGATCCGTACGTTTAGTGAGTAGCACTGACTGACTTCACATTGGAGTTGAAAATCTGGATCCTATTTTCATGCTGAGTGATCTTGACCACCACACAGACTTGAGAGTAATGAAGGCTTGTCTTGCTTTCCCGATCCTCGCTTCCTTGATATCCTCGTCAGTTCCATCCGCCTGTAGTTGAAACGATGCTTCTTAGGTAGGTGGGTAAGTAAAGGAGGTTGTTTCTTCCAGGTTCCTCTCATTTATGCTGGCTGATTGTTGTCTGTTGTTGTAGTTGCTGTTGGTGTTGCAAGGAATCTTCATCACCTCTGTGTTATCTATGTTCACTTTGTTATATACTGGAAGAGAATTTAATAGTCCTGACGCAAGAAAGACGGAAATCAGAAGACCACTAGGTTTGCGATGATACTTCTATTTTCCAAACACAAGAAGAATCAATAAAGTAACACAAGAGTGTGAGAGCAAAAATATGGATGTCCGAACAAGTGTGTGAACACGAGTGTGTGAGCGAATATTCAAAATGAACAAATCAATAGACAGTCTTAACATGATTGGCTAATTATAATGGAATATCGATCCATATATACATAGCAAAATATATCAGACTGTCAAACAAACACACCTATTATATGGATACATATCATCAAGAACAGACTGTCAACAAACACACATATTATATGGATATATATCACCAAGAGCAGACTGTCAAACAAAACACACATATTATATGGATACATATCACCTCCCCTTTTGCGAAGATTGATGATTAGTAGGGTGTTTTCTAGGGGGTTTATCTGGAACCGTTGAGCTTGTTGTTGACGTCTGTCGCTTCGTCTGCCTGTTGGGTTTGCGGCTTCGGCTTCGTCCATAATTGTCTGACATTTTATGCTTCTTGACTGCATTACATAGCGAATTTAGTGGGACATCAGCCAGATGCAATCGATCGAACCAGTCAAGTCCCAAAAGATTTAAATCACTCTTGGTGACGTAACAAATTCCTGTGAATTTGATATTGGGGAAGGAAACAGAACATTTGAGTTCACAAATTAGTTTGAGCCGCCCACCACAGGTGCTGACAAGAGCCTGGGAAGTATTTGTGATAGGTGGTCTGCCAATATCACTCCAAAGTTTCTCTGATATAACAGTAATATCAGAGGCGGTATCTAGCTGCAGACTTGTATCATGACCATTCATCTGAAGATCAAGATATTTCCGCATACCTGGAGTTATGACTTGACTTATAATGGAATATCGATCCATATATACATAGCAAAATATATCAGACTGTCAAACAAACACACTTATTATATGGATATATATCAAACTTGAAGTCCTATCTTTGATGCTTCTTCCAGCAACTTGATGCTTTTTACTGGCATATCTTCCATTTTGTGGGAAATCAGGCATATATCATCGGCGCAGTCCGGATCCTCCAAGACTTTTGTGTGGCTCCATTTTATGCCTGTTTTCTCATTGCTCGTTGTCTGTTTCATTATCCAATCTACTGCACTCAGGAAGATCATTGGCGGTAGTAGAAGGCCTTGCGTCACTCGCGTGCTCACTTTGAAGGCTTCCTTAAGTTTCCCGTTGTGGATTACTTTGTCGTACAACTGTTGGATGAGATGTATAATTGTCGATGGCACCCCGTAGTAGAGAAGTAGTTGCCAAATCGCCTCTCGATCGACGCTGCGCTGTCGGAGGCCTTTCCAAAGTAGATGAAGTTGAGATAGAGAGGTGACTGCCACTGCAAGCTTTGGCGATTTTATCAATACATGACTTGTTTCTCCTGAATCCAGCCTGTTCCGGTCGAAGCTCTTCATCCAGATTGGCGTGTTTGATTCTCTCCAGGATGATGTGGATTAGTGTTTAGCTTGGGATGGACAGGAGCATAATTCCGCGCCAGTTCCTGCATTGACTTAAGTCTCCTTTCTTTGGTAGTGTGAATAAGTATCCTTTCTTCCAATCCTCGGATACTTTGCCCTCTTTCCACACCTTTTCCAGTAGTGGTGGTGTCATCAAGTCCGCTGATGCCCCTGGGTCCATTTTCAAAGCTTCTGCCGGGATTCCATCTGGTCCTGCTGCTTTTCCAGCTTTTAGCATCTTGATTGCGTTCAGGACTTTTGATTTAGTCGGGGGGTCGATGTTCACCGGTAGTTCTGCTTCCACCGTTGGTATTGTTGGGCGCGTTGTAGGTGGCGGTCGATTTAGAAGGCTTTTGAAGTGTTCATCCCAGTGTTTTCTTTGCTCCACCTCTTTGGTGATTGACTTTCCATTGTCGTCCTTTATTGTCTTAATCTGTGTCGAACGTTTGCCCGATAGGTTCCTAGTTGTTTGGTATAGTGTGGCGAGGTTTCCTTTGCCTTCACTGCAGCTTGTTCTGGTTCACTTGACACGGCTTCATAATATTTTCTTTCGTCTTCCCTGGCACTCTTCTTCACTCTTTTGTTCAGTGTATTGTAGCTTGCATTCAACTCCTGTTTTTGTTTCTCGCCAGTGCACTGGATAATCTTTTGTTTCACTATCCTTCCCTCTCCTTTAAGTCTTCAAGTGTCCGTAGTGAGCCATTGTTTGTCCTGTCTCTTCTTTCTTCCTAGAACTTCCATGCAGGTTGATACAGAATATCGAAAAGTGAAATTATATCAATATATTCACTGATGATATTTTAGAAATTGTACTTTTACTAAAATACTAAAAATTGCAAAGTTCATTGTGAAGAAACGAGGTTTTAAATTTGCGCGATATGTAGCAATTCTGTATTTTTGAATGCTATGTTAGAGGATTTCGTCATGAGATGACACCAGTTGGAGAACCAATGGAAAATCTGTGAGTACAAGGGAGTCCTAGTTTTGGACTCTTCACAGTGAACACACACCGCCACGTTTTGAACCCAGGACCTTCTGGTTACAAGCGACCTAGCTTGTAGAATATTAAGCCACTGGGACCCGATCTAGTCCCAAACTGGGACGAAACAGCTACCCAGTACTCCCAGGCTTCCCAATGGTTCTATAACCGATGTCATCCCATGACAAAGAAAATACCTGTAAACCAATTACTTGAGAATATTATGTTAAACTGTGCTACTGACAAGGTTTATCAGTAGTACATAAAAGACCCCCCCATCAGAACAAAAATATCAGACAGCTGAGAGATAGATTTGGCATCAAATAGAAGAAATCAACCAGTATTGCGGAGAGACTTGAGTGATACGAAAAGAAGGCAAAAAAACACAATACGAAGGAAGGGCAGAATTAGAACAACAAGGGAGGCTTGTGCTGGTGAAGATTTTAACACTACAGTATACATAATTTCTCTATATGTGTAAATCAGATTACATCCCGCTTCCTACCATTCTTATGTTCTACCGTTACAAAACTATAGAATAGACTCCTTTGATCCAATGCTAATAAAGCATGGATAAACATCACCCTTCGAATATGATTACTTTTCATTAATCAGCTTTTTTTAGACAATGAATAAATCTGGTTAAAAACCTGCACAAAAGAAGTTTTTTGCATACTGCTACCTAACACTTAATTAAAAAGAATTGCTACTTATAGCAAGTGAAAGAGTGTGTACATAAGCTGTTAACAAAACCTATTTCGTATTATGCCATAGACAACAATCATCTAGCATAAATGGGAGGAACCTGAAAGAAACAACCTCCTTTACCTACCCACCTACCTAGGAAGCATCGTTTCAACTACAGGCGGATGGAACTGACGAGGATATCAAGGAGGCGAGGATCGAGAAAGCAAGACAAGCCTTCATTACTCTCAAGTCTGTGTGGAGGTCAAGATCACTCAGCATGAAAATAGGATCCAGATTTTCAACTCCAATGTGAAGTCAGTCAGTGCTACTCACTAAACGTACGGATCATAGACTTGGTCAGCGCGTCATAAACAGCACTTCAAACAAACTTCAGACCTTCATTAACAGTTGTCTTCGCTCAATACTCAAGATTAGATGGCCGGCCGGCCAGAAAAGATCAGCAACAGGGATCTCTGGGAGCGAACCAACTCAGTAGGAACCGATTGTGAAACAAATAAGCAGGAAGAAATGGAGGTGGATTGGCTGGCCATACTCTGAGGAAATCATCAAGTGACATAACTAGACAAGCCATGGTTAGAGTGGAGCCCGAAAGGGAAGCGGCGAGTTGGTCGTCAGTGAGAGAGTGAGGTGACTTGGATGAGGTGATGTGAAGAGGAGATGAAAGTATGTGGGCAGACTTGGAGCGGGGTGAAAAGGTTGTCAGAAAACGGAAGGCAATGGAGACGCGTGGCTGAAGCACTGTATTCCTCTAGGAATTGAAGGAAATAATAATAATTGTTATTATTATTGTTCCATAGTCAACCAATATATTCCCACTGTTCTCAGTATCATAACTGTCAAAGATCTGGCTATTGGCATAACTCCTAACAGTACCGAAAATCTGAAAAGTTTTCAGAAAGGATCAATAATAAATCATATTAGGTTATTATTGAGGTTGGTCAGAAAGGTCGATATCGGAAATCTAGAGTATTAAGGTTATGGCTTCGAACGATGTGTCAACAGTCGTCCCATCGTTTAAACGCACCCAAAAGTTAAAAACTTGGAAATAATTGTAAATATGTACCACAAAAGCCCAGTTTTCAAATTTATGTTTAAATCTCAAGGGTTAGAATGATGAGTGAAATTGAATGAAATTTCAACTGATTTACAGTGTGTATACATTTTCACCTTTGGCTAATTCCTTCACTCCATAAAAGTAAATATCCATTTGTAATGGCAATGAATAAGCGGAAGTCTTTTATATCTCCAAATCTCATAGCGTCACTATTTTTCACCAGGACTTTCCAACAAAAAGACCGTAGAAACCAGGCATTATTCAGACTCTGCGAGATCTTGTCGTTAATAAGGATTCCTAGTTAAAACATCTTGTGCTGAAGATTACAGATGACAGCTTACTTTTCTTGTAGTTATAGTACTCACTGGAGTAGGACAATGAAAAGGTCTGTGAAAAGTTGTAACCAGAAGGGAGCACCAGGTTGGGCAATAGGACAGTTACGCGCAAATCATAATCACTGACAACTATTATCATTGTTCCCTTGGGTTCCTAGTGAAACATAGGGCTTCAACTCCACGTCTCCACTTGCCACTTCTGTCTTCCTTCTGCTGTACTTTTCACCTGAATCCATGTTAGTCCATACTGTTTCAACTCCTCTTCACACGATCTCCTCCATGTCTGTGCGTCGGTGGCGCAGTAGTTAGGGCCGTCGCCGATCATGCACATGGTCCGAGGTTCGATCCCCTGCCGATGCACACCTGATATCTATGGTCGGCCTGTAAAATTTGGGCTACTGATATCACATGCTGAAAATTCCATACTTGTACCAAAAATACGGTGTGGAATCAAGCTGTAATCAAAAAATAAAAAATGTCACCCTTGGACGTTCCAATCGCCGCTTCCTTCTCGGGTTCCACTCGAGCAATGGCCTGACGCGCGCGTCATGTCACCCAGCGGCCTCCTCCCCGGCAAGTGTCCAATCCATCTCCACTTTCTCCTGCATATTTGTTGGGCGATTGCTTCTTGTTTTGTTTGTTCTGATAGTTCCTTGTTGATGATTCTTTCCAGCCCGGCCATCTGATCTTCGGTATAAAGCAAACACAGTTATGACTTACAATTGAGATACCTATATCACGAAGTCGTAGAAGTTAGAATTCATGGGCCATTGGATCAGGTCTCAGTGGCTGAGTGATATACGAGTTCGCCTCGTAACTGAAAGGTTCTGCTAACGTACTGGTGAAAAGTCCCAGACTAGGACGAAACAGCTGTCCAGTACTTTGTGGTTTTCCAACTGTTCTGTAACTGATATCAGCTCGTCATCAATACTGTAACTGATCGACTGCCTGTAAAACCAACACTAGACATGTTTTTATCATTTCAGCTGATCCAAAGTACCATTTTAAAATCAAATACATTTTTATACTTTTATTGCAATGAAAGAAACTTAAATACTTAATAATTTTAGGCTTGGGAGCACACCTACATGATTTGGCTACGAAGTACAAAATTTCTCATCAACTATCCAAAATCAAAAGCTTCTGCTCCACCCAGTGGGTCGGATGATCCATGTTATGATAGTGCCGCTAATTCCACCAATAACAATTCAGTGGGCGGATTCTCTTCTGCATCTCTTGGTAGTTCACCATCGATATCTAGTGGATTGGATTCTATAACCAATTCAGTGGACACTGGCGGAGTCAGTATGAATATCGATGGATTCTCTTCTGTAACAGGTAATTTAGCACAAAAATTAGTTTTAATTCCCTAAACTTAATTCAGGTTCATCTGGAATGATGCTTACAATAGCCAATAATCCTGGTGGAGTTTCTGCATCAGGTGGTTCGACTGGAACAAGTCCATTTACTGCTGGAAGTGCAATCAGTGGTGGGACAAGTCGATATTTGGCTGTAAAACGACGTGTTAGTCAACAATCACCTGTAAATGATCATGAAATTGAAGATGTGTTAAATGAATGGGCGAATATGACAGGATTCTTGTGTGCACTGGGGTCGGTCGCACTGAATATGCCGTTGCCTCAAGGATCTACACCATTCTCTGCACAAACAACGTCATCCAGTTATTCATGCGTATGTTCTAGTCTGTTTATTGTAAATTGTGTTTACTAACAATTTATTCGTTTAATTCTTTATATTTTCATCTTCTACATATTTACCAGTTTACCGTATTAATGCACCGATTTTAAGTTGTTGCTTGTGGATGACAAGCAGGACTATCAGATATAGCTATTTTCTAGCTTTGGTCGAATTTAGCTACCTACGGATTAACTTGTCATCATTCCGGTTATCGACCAAAGGGCGGGTGTACTGCTCATCATTCCGCTCCGTCCTCCTTTATGGCTGTGAGACCTGTCCATCGAAAGTGGAAGATGTGAAAAGACTAGCTGTCTTTGATCATACGTGTATGCGTTCTATCTCCCATGTGAAGTGGTATAATAGAGTGAGCAATATTGAGATTAGGTGTCGACTGCTAGGTAAGGAGGGAAAATCAATCAACGAGGCTGTGAAATTACATCGACTGAGATGGTTAGGACATGTGTTACGTATGCTGGTCTAGTCATCGCCTTCCTCGACAATGGGCAATGTTAGCTGATATAAGGCCAGGCTGGAAAAGAGCTAGCGGCAGTCAAACTAAAACATGGCACCAGTCAATGAAATCCAAAACAGTTAATTTAAGCCACGTAGGAAGGTGTAGACCTCCTGACTAGTTGGGGTCCTCGGGACGGTAAAAGCCAATGAAGGCTGGAGACAATTGGTGATATGGCTCCAAATCGTCCTTTTCAATGGCTGGTGCAGATGCATCCACTCCTCGTGACTTATGACTTCCAATGAAACTATATTGTCCTTCGTTATTAATATTTCTTTGTCTCACACCTCTGTTTACTGTCTTTATTATGCATTTCTCGTGCCTTCTTCTCCTGATTTGTGTGCTACAAGGAGGGAGTGTGGCGACTTGAACTGGTGCACATCGGTGCAAAGTTCTATTTCGAAAACAGACAGAAAGACTTGTCATCAAGATACAGTTTCATCAATTTAGAGTATTCAGATGATACGATCCTTTTAGTGGAAGCTGTTGGAAAAATGCAGGGTCATCTAAATAACATGAGCAAACTTTTGAGTATATCTGGTTTTTGATCTGCTCTCCATGGAATGTCATATGATGTTGTAGAGCTTTCCTGTAATAACTTCAAGCTTAAAGTTCGGGAGGTGCAATGGTAGAGTCCGTTGACCGATCCACCTATTTAAGAAGTCTCATTGACTCTAATGATCTAGTTACAGACGTAATATCAGCACAGATGCAAAGGAGTTGTTCGACACTCACCTTGATTGCATAATCTTTGACGCAAGCATTATATCCGGGTATCTATCAAAGACGTGTGCACTGTGCACCAGTTCTCTGTGTACTACCGCTCTATGAACAGTTCCACACTGAGAATTCAGTTCAACAGAGTATAGACTTCACTCTAGATCTAGTTTTCAGTGCATTTGAATACATAAGTAGTTAGATTGGTTGGGGGATTTCATCATAAGTTGATAGCAGGTAGAGAACCAGGTTCCGATGAAAACATAAATAGATAGATAAATAAATAAACATGCATGTCAAACATACGCAAGACAACATCAACTGTAGGGAATCTAAATCATCACAGTAGTAATTCCATACAAAGAAGGAACCTCGGAAGCCTTACACAGAATTCTTAACAATGTTGGCAGGAATAAAAGTGGCTGACATTCAAACCAACAAACTCAATTAGAAACAAGCTTGGTCGGTTAAAGGATCAATCCTGTGGAGCCAATTAAACAAAACAATTTAGTTTATCTACTACCCTGCTTGAATTATTGTCAGGTCAAATACATAGGTCAAACTAGTAGAACAAGGCCAGTGAGTTAGAGTAGCCGAGCATAAAAATCTAGCAAAATGTAGATTGGTTGACCCAAATAAGATAAGAAATCTAGGGGATAGTTCAGCTATACCATTCACTACATGAAATTACACACAACCGTACAACAAGATGGATGGGATAAGATGACAGTTTTAAAGTCTAATGTCACAGCAGGGTGGAGGGAGAGATTGATAACGGAAGCCTTGTTTATCCAATCAACTGCAATCACGTGTAATAGGAATGATTCAACACCTGTCCACCCAGATATCTGGAAAATTCTACTACCCCAACGAAGACAAATTGGAGAGGACAAAGAAAACTATGAAACTCAAGTTTCGAAGTCGTGTGATTATAACTGATAGAATAATTATGAACAATAAATTTTTGTTCGAAACTGTGTCATGCAATAAATACCACTGTTTCACTGTGTGATACACCTAATAAACAAACTAATATGGAATAAATAGATAGGCTTAAACAAGTACTCCATGAAGCTAAACTCCCAATGTTTTATCCTATTTGATACAAACCATTGTAAGTTTATGTAAAGTAATGCTTGTTCTGCAGTAAGATCTTTTACTTACATAAATATCTCTGTTTTGCTTTTTTTTTTAAAAATAATATAAAGGAACAAAGCAAGCTAAAATCTTTACAATCCCATTGTCCACATTATCACTACTGTTCTCACCATTTATTGGATCATGTACATCAGCATTTTGATCCAACCTGTCTAGGAGCAAATTATTTTCTTCGATCTCATCGAACAAATTTCAATAAGAGTACTAGTGATGTAGATCAAACAGATGAATCACATAATCTTAATAAATGTCATACATTTCATGGTGCTTGTCTAAGTGAGATGAATACTGCAAGACGTTTTTCACTTGTTCAATCCAGTTTAAATCAAGACAATCAATTCTCACCTGTTGCACAGTAAGTTCATTTTATTTGGTAATGAATTCTGTAGTTAATGACAATGGTTGTTACAAACCAGATCATTTTATTTCACTTATATTATTATTATTATTGTTCCCTTGGGTTCCAAGTGGAGCATTAGGCTTCAACAGCACATCTCCAATTTGTCTTATTCTCTGCGGTACTCCTAACCTGACCCCATGATCGCCCATAGTCTCTCATCTCCGCCTCACGATCTCCTTCATGTCACTCTCGAAAGGACGCTCAACTCTTCCTTTCCTATCCTGGCTCTACTCGATAGATGGCTTGACACTTGACGGCATTCGCCGATCTGATTCACCTCCATTTTTTGGAATATTTGTTGAGTAATAAGTTTTTGAATGGTTCTTTCCCACAGTTTCTTGTCGCTAATTCTTTCTGGTCTACCATTTGATCTACAAAATAAAGCCAGCGAGAATGTAGCTGTTGATAAAAGTCTGCTGCAGGCTTTTAGAAATGCTTTCCATGATGCTTCTGTCAAGTTTCTGAGACATACAGAAGCACTGATTGGCTTAACATTGGTTTTGAAAATTCCAGTGTTGTTCTTTAAGGTGAGTTAGTTCAGGAGATTTCTAAACTGATTTCAGATTGATGTGAAGGTCTCTGTTGCCATTAAGATGATTCTGTTTTTTGAATTCATGAACCCTGCTTTCGTCTGCAGTTGAAACGATGCTTCTTAGATAAGTGAAGAAAGTATAACCTCTTTCAAATTTGTTTATGGTTCATAGTGATTGATGCTTGTTGTTGCCTGTCGGTTATCTTCATCAACCCCGTCTTCTCTATGCTCATATGATGAAATCCTGTCTTCTCTACCAGTATCCTCTCCCAATTTGTTGGTTTTCGCCTGTAGGTTTTTTGGCTTTCCGTAACTTTAGGCATGAATCATTCGCGTAATCCAGATCTTCTAGAGTCTTCTAATCGATGCTTCAGCTTTCTCCTCTCTCCTGGCTCGCTGCAGTCGAATGCATAATCCACTTGAGATCTCATTGAATTTTGTTTTAGCACTGAACTTACTTAGACATCCATTTGCTCTTGTAAAGCAGTATGTGTCATTCGTAAAATGATTCACCCTTTCCTAAGATCATATGAGATATGATCGGCCATAAGGATTCTCTGATGTCGCCATTTGGGATGTTGTCCATTACTGTTTGTAGTCCTGCATTGTTTGTAGGTGCATAGCACTGCATAATCGTAATCTTCCTTCCTTTTGAGTTGAAACTTTCTGTCATGATCCTGCAGGATGAAATTGGTTCCCCACTGTATTAGGTCTTTGGCTGCCACTGGTGACTAAGTAATTACTTAAACTGAAAGTCTATCCGAGATGGATGAATGTAGAGGCATATCGAAAATAAAAGTCATCAGTTTAACGATAATCTAATTTCATTAAATGGATATAAAAATTTTCCGTCAGGATATAGACATAACTTAAAGAAAAAGCATGGCGGAGGGGTGGTCACTTTTATTAATACAAAGTGGTCTACATCTAATCATGAATGTTTTTATTTTGCCAATAACAATTTGGATTACGTCACTGTTAGGTGTTTCCCAAAGCATTTAAGCGAATACTCCCATATATATATATATGTAACTTACGTTTATATAACACCAGACCGCAAATTCTCAAGTATATCTGTCTTTGCAGATGAGTTACATTTGCAAACTCTTTGTCTGTATGGTATATAGGGACTTCAATTCATGCGATCATAGCTTTCTCACATGACTTGAACATTAGAAACTTTTCACATTTAATACTCGTCCAGACAAAACCCTAGACGTGATTTTCATAAACGATCTTGATACATACGAGGCCCGAAGGAAAGCTTCCTCGCTGAATTTTTACCATTGCACTATCCATGTTTTACCAAAAGTGCATGGCAAGTTACACAAAAGTGCTTTTGTTCACCTAATAAAGAAAATTCAAGAACGACCACATTGATATGATAGTTTTTTTTATTCTTTACGTTCCCAGTCGAATATAGGGCGTGAAGTTTCTCTAGCAGTGATGATTTTTTCTGCAGGATTGGGTTACTAGCCTCATGCTCAACCTTTCCTCTTTACCAGTCTTATTGCCGGTTTAGCGAGGTTTAGGAGTACGTATGTAGTCGGGGATCAAACTCCGGACCATGTGCATGGTCGGCAACCACTCTACCGCTGCGCCACCGACGCATAACATGATAGTAGTCTTGAACTAAGATACACGGTGCATAATAGTGAGACTCATTCTGCGGTGAATTCTTGTGCGTTACTATTTATAATGTCACCTACTATCTCTAATTGTGTTTGGACATTTACTGTCCTACTAAAACACCATATACGAGGTCGGACAAGATCTCTTCCCCACAATTAAGGAAGCTTCGGACAGAAAAACAGAATTTGTATAAATCACACGATAATGCTTGTGTTTGAAAAATACAAAGACTAAGTGGAATCTATAGTGAGAAAATTTTATCATATAAGAAGACTTCTAACATCCGGAAACGTTTTAATTAACTCGTAAGTGAAAAGCAAATTTCAATCGGTGCTCATTCAGATGTAAACGGCTTGAATCGATCTTGAATAATGCAACAAGCTAATGTGATTGAAGCTTGATGTCTCTGGTCATTTTCCAGATTTTAATGAAAAGGATATATTGTCGCATCTCAAATCCTTGTATTCATCACAAAGCCTAGGTGCCGATGGTGTACCTAACATTTTACTTCAAAAGTGTTTAGATGTTTTGTGTCATCTTCTTACACAAATCTTTAGTGCATTATTTAACAGGGATACAGTGCCTGCTTCCTGGAAAGGAATAAAGCCGGTGTCTGTACCAAACCTTTCAAGGGTTGGTATGCAGGGATTTGATTGCTTACGGGTTATATATCATGAGACGACATCAGTTAATGAACTGTCGGGAGACCTGTAAGTATTCAAACTTGTAAACACCAAATCCCTGCAAACCAAAACTTGAAAATTAATCTGGTCCACTTACTATTGAGTGTATGTATACACGAATTTATATGGAATTCTAGTGATCAGCAGCTGAGGCCACTAAGAAAACATTCACTCGCCGATGACACCGGCAGGAGGTTGCTCCATATATGTATATCACGAATTGGCAAAAGTTGGAATTCATTTGCCATTGGTTTGAGTCCCAGTGACAGGAATGGTATACGAGCTCGTCTTGTAACAGGAAGATCCTGCATCCATACTGATGACGCGCTCCAAAATAAGACGAAACAGTTGCCCAGTATTATTATTATTGTTCCCTTGGGTTCCTAGTGGAACATAGGGCTTCAACTCCACGTCTCCACTTGCCACTTCTGTCTTCCTTCTGCTGTACTTTTCACCTGAATCCATGTTAGTCCATACTCTTTCAACTCCTCTTCACACTATCTCTTCCGCCCCACCCTTGCACTGACGTCCCACTCGCCGCTTCCCATTCTGTAGAGTTCCACTCGAGCAATGGCCTGACGCGCGCGCGATGTCACTCAGCGGCCTCCTCAGTGAGTGTCCACTGAATGTCCATCTCCACTTTCTCCTGCATGTTTGTTTGGCGATCGGTTCTTGTTTTGTTTGTTTGTGCCCATAGTTTCTTGTTGGTGATTCTTCCCGGCCCGGCCATCTGATCTTCAGTATACAGCAAAGACAGATGTTGATAAAGGTCTGCAACAGGTTGTTGGAAATATTATTTGTGACTCGCCCACCAAGTTTCTGATCCGTTCCGTATAGAAGAACTGACTGACTTGACGCCGTTTGTATTGAAAATCCAACTGAATTTTGTTGTTGATGCTGGCTGGCTGAGTGACGAAGATTTCCCGATTGGTTTCAGATCCCTGAATGTATGTGTTTCTCACCTTCCCGATTCTCACTTGATTAGACATCCTCGTCCATTCTGACATCCTGTAGTTGAGACAATGCTCAATGCTAAATAAGTGAAGTGAATGAAGTAACCTCTTTCAAATCCCTCCCGTTGATGATGATTGACACTGGATGTTGCTGTTGTTGGTTGGTTAGTTATTTTCATCACCTCCGTGTTGTCTATGTTCACTTGGAGTCCTGTCTTCGCCGGCTGCTTCTTCGACCAGTTTGTCGGTTTTTGCTTGTAAGTCCTCGATTTTGTTTGACATCAAACATAAATCATCCACGTACGAAATCCAGGTCCTCTAGGTTCTTCACGTCGGTCCAAGATAAGTTGCCCAGTACTCCATGGTTTATCCACTGGCTGTCTAACTTTTATCAGCTAGTGATGAAACGTAGAGCGTATAGACATTTTCTTTCCCTAACTTTACCATGTAGGAGATAACGTTCAGAAATCCGATGATGAGCCATGCCAAACTGTACACCCTACGTGACTGTCAGATATACATAGAGGAGGCGAAATTATAGAGTTTATCCTGAATTCCCGACGTAAATTTGGTGTGGGTGTGAACTTCTGCTGCGCTGAATGCTCATTTTAGTGCATTTTTTCTAATCACTGATCTATTTTTCTTTTTACTTCTTTTCTTTTATAGATTTATAGGCAACTTATTATTATTAATTAGTTGTCAACATGAAAAATTTGGTCATCAAATACAAAAACATGTGAAAGAATCAATTGGTAATGAATTAAACCCACTAATTTATCCAATATTATTTAATCAACTACGCAGTCATGTGGATGCTTGTTTTTCTGGACAAGGACAACAACAGGTTGTTGTCACAGAGACAAATACGCTGTTTATTGAAAATGTTATCTTCATTATGCGTAGTATCCTGGATAAGCGAACAAAATCTGTGGATCGATTAACTGATCACCTGGAATTAGTTAGTATTGAAAGTCTTATGCTAAATATTGTTAGGTAAGTTATCTGTGCATTATTTTTTATCTCTATTTGATTTGGTACAATATGGCACCAAGAAAGATGCGCCACACACACACGCACACTAACTTGTTGCTTCATTCCATTTATTGTGTGAGGGTTAAGTGTTATGTACTCGTCGCCAAATTATTGTTATGTACTGGTCGAGAATTTAATAGTCCTGACTCAAGAAAGACGGAAATCAGAAGACCACCAGGTTTGCTATGATACTTCTATTTTTCAAACACAAGGAGAATCAATAAAGTCACACAAGAGTGTGCGAGCAAAAATATATATGAATGTCCGAACAAGTGTGTGAACAATCAATAGACAGTCTTAACATGATTAGCTAATTATGATGGAGTATCGATCCATATATATACATAGCAAAATATAGCAGACTTGTCAACAAACACACATATTATATATACTATAAGGGGAATATACATTGTTAAAAGAGACAGGTTCATCAAAGTGAAATGGTCACAGACTAAGAGAGCAACAGAAAGAGAGACCATCATATATATATATATATATATATATATATATATATATATATATATATATATATATATGGATACATATCATTAAGATACTGCCCGGGCGTCCAGAGAGAATCAGACGGTTTTCTTAAGGAACCACCCCCCCCCAAGCCTTTGACTTGAATTCTAATCCGCAAGGCAGCGGAGCAGCGTCAGGAGCTGCTTTCCCATGGTTGCCGGTGCCCCATATGAGTTCATACGCCATTTGATCCGATTGGATTCTGGAGCCCATGTACCCCATGGTAACTGCTTTTAGTCAAACCGCTATCCAAACAACCTTCCTGACATGGTAGAAACTGCAGGAACATGAGTCCCAGCCAGTTTAGCTTGTTGGTTCACTGCGGTATTCAAGCCCGATCACCACGGCAAAGTAGCAGTTGTCGGCCGGGGAGCATTATTCTAATGAGAATATTTTCATATTTATTGTATTAATAATTTGGTAGAATGGCGGCGATGTTTAATTATCATAGACAAAGTCAAGATCTTTCAAGAGTTGGCCTTCAAAGACCAATTCGATACAGGCTACTACTCTATGAAAGGTCATTCCAAAGCTAATCAATCATATCTGCCTGTTTTGGAGTTGGAGAAGGCAGATACTAAATTCTACTTATTTTCCAGGTACTTCCTCTGCAAATCAATACTGTTAGGTGGTGGATCTACCAGTCTTAGTAAACCCGTTGAGCTGTAGTACTTACTCACTTGCTTTTGCTCTTTGCGGTCTCTTGTATTTTAACTGATTAAAACCTGCCCATTAAAATTTTCTAAAGAATAGATAATAACTGAATTCAATGCAGAGGAATCTCAAAACAGAATGAATTGCCTTCTTGGATGTCCTTCTTACAAGAAAACCAGATGGTAGAATAACAAGACATTTGCATAGAAAAAGTACATGGATAGGACAATCAATATACACATTTTCACAGCTTTTCTTCCTCTCAAGTACACGAGGAATTTAGTAAAGACCCTCAGCCACAGAGTTAGTTAGAGCTGTATGCTCAGAAGAAGTAATTGAAGATGAGTTAAGCATCGTGTATATGATGCCTTGATTGAAAACAGCTAGCTATCGCGACGAATTTATCAAGGAACACATGGCAAACAAAGCAGGAAAGGACTACTCACTATCCGTAAACAAGAAGCCATTTTATATATATGACTACAATTCAAGGGCTATATTCCAAGCAAAATAATAATGAAAAAGCTAAGAAAATCAGTTGAAAGAACTTTTAATGCTGGTGAACTACACGTATTATTCTCTACACTACCGATGGTGGTGATTCCTCAACTGAAAGATGAAGTACCTAGACTAGACTAGCCACTTCAAACTGTATCTACCAATTCAACTGCACTTGTGGTGGAGCGAGTTATATCAGCCGTTGCTCTAGGAACTTGATTTTTCGTCCTCCCAGTATGGCTAAGTTAAAGTATAGTGAAAACCATTAACAGTCCGATATTACACCACCTGGTCCAAACCGACCACAAATCCAGCCAGCGTGGAAGAATCCTTCTCTATCATCTACTGGATGCCAAATAAATCGCCAAAAACATCGAAGTACCACATGCTCCAAACAGAAGAGGCTATTGCAATTTGCCTCAAACAACCAGTGCTTTGTGTGTGCAGAAGAAGCAAGTCCAGCCAGCCACTACTACTACCCGGGTTAGCCTTTAGTAGAGACTATAAATTCATGAGTTCTGTATTATTATATTTCCTAATTTTTCTCCCATTCAGTGTGTGTTGTTATGTTGATGCTATTGAACTGTAATCTTCTGATATTATTATTGAATCGATGTTATTTAAACAAGTACAGATAATGAAACACAAATCGAAAAAGAACTCAATTATTAGGGAATACACAATTGGTGGATGGTGGCTAGCAGTGGAATCCAGGATGCGCATTTCGTTCTATTTGGGACTCGTCATGTGGATTTCTCAGTGAGTGATGATGTTCCCATCACTCACTGAGAAATGCAGATACATCCAGCTGATGAGTCCCAAATAGGACGAAATGCGCTTTATCCTGGATTCCACTGCTAGCCACCATCCACCAATTATATACTAACTAAATGCCCGGACATCGTCGAAGCATCTGCACAAGAAGCCGACATGTCAACCTGAGACCGAGCACTTCGGTCTAATCAATCGACGGGAAAATCAAAAATTCAATTCAATAATAGGGAATACACTTTAAATTGCAGTATATATTTAAATAGGATAAAAGTTGAGGTTACTATAGAGAAATATTATTAAACCTGCATGGTTAATATGACTGAGCTAGTGACTTTGAGGATGTATATGTTAATCAACACAAAGAAAAGCACAAAAGTGTATCACAGCTTGGTTTGGCGTGAATTCTCCAGTGGGTTTATAACAGCCACACTAACTTTAGCGTTGCTATGTTCACGTAATGACATAAATAATATATCAATAAGGCATCTGACATTAAATTACAAATTCGAAAAATTTTTACAAGATATTAATTTGCATGGATTCAGAGTTTTTGGTAGTCTCTGTGTCAATAAATGTTGCTTTATAATCATGTCTAGGCCTCAGGCTTTGAAAGTTAAACACAGAAAACTTCATTTTCATAATTTTACGCTACTATATGCGGCCGTATTGAATCAGAAATGCTTTGTTTTTTAACTGTATTCACATAGTGCTCATTCGAACCGGTGGTATTTTGGCTATGCCATATTATCGTTCTGTATTCCCCAGGAAAAAAACACCTAAAACAATTTATGCATGTCGAGGGGAGCTAGAAGTACATGTAATAACTAACATTTAGTTTGCTCAGTTGCATCTGTTTACTTTTTGAACCCTATTTGTAATATGATGCCATGATAATTCACTGTAAATACTTTAAGGCAGTAGCTGTGTAACAAGAGAAGACAACGGCCAGCCAAACATATCGTTTATTTACGAAATCAACACATATTTATAGATTTTCATGTACATTATTATAGCTTATTCAAGCAAACAAACAAAGTCTTCTGATTGGTTGTTTCTCACAGAAAGTTAACCTTGCATCTCTTTGTGACTGTTTCTTTAATGTCAGGTCATCTATATGTTAACTGTATCCGCCTACGCAAAGCCTTTGTTCTCATTTCTTTCACCACCAATATTGGGGACATAAACGTTGACGTAAATTACTGTCCACCAATTTTGACTAACAGCCAGCTCTCATCTCAGCTATATCTCTACCTACCTGATGTAAACAATGTTGTTTTATGATTGGCTAGAAAAGTAGTTTCTGATCTTCGCATGAACTAGAATTGCTACTTGCAATGAAGCAAGAACGGCGAGACTTGTGGTAGAAATTTCGTGTTAACAAATTAACTGGCATTCGTACGGATAGTCAGTAAGATAATATCAAAAACTCACAAACAAAGTTGTCACAAAAACAGGAATAACCGCCAATAGAATTAAAACAACGCCTAATTATTTATTGTTCCTTTGGGTTCCAAGTTGAATTTAGGGGCATCCTCCTTCACTGGCTCCACAATTGTCCATAGTCTGTCATTTTCTCCTCCCACGATCTCCTCGATGTCACCATCTGACCAACACTAAACTCATCATTTCCCACCCACTCAATATCCTGGCACACGATGTCATTTGACGATCTCGTCAGAGATTGCCCGATAAATCTTAAGTTTCTTCGCATATTTGTTGACCAATAGACTATCGGTTGGTTTGTTCCCAGAGGTTCTTGTTGGAAATTCTTTCTGGTTAGTGATCCGACTTTCAGTATGCAGTCAGTGAAGGTAACTGTTGATAAACATCTGTAACTGGGTTTTGGAAATGCTTTCTGTGACGGAAACGCCAAGTTTCTGACCCATGTAGAGGCATTAACTGACTTAACGTTGGTTTTAAAAATCCGAATTTCGTTTTTTATGCTGAGTTAGTGTAGAAGATTTCCAAACTGATTTCACAGGTATGAAGAAGCACCTTATGTTTTCAATTCTGGTTTTGACTTCCGCTTGTAGTTGAAATGATGCTACCTATGTAGGTCAAGAAAGTGACTGATCTCTTCTTTTTAATAATAATAATTTGCTTTATTCCCAAACAGTATTTGTGATACAGAATGGAATTCTCAGCATTTCACCACATACAGTATTGCATCCAGTTTGTACATTAACAATAAATAAAATTCTACATAGATTAAGGGTAATATCACTTCGTTTCGACAACAACATATTGGCATGTCGGTAGCAAAGCCAACATTGAACAGAGTGTTTGAAGGTGTTAGAAAAGTAAATCCTAGCGTATTTACTGGCGTAAGTGGTAACAAAAACGTCGAGATATACAGAATGTGAGAGAAAGAAGAAGAATGTTTTAAATAGAGTTTTTAAGGAAGAAAGAAACAAAGCAGCACATAACAGAAAAAAAAGAGAGAAAAAGAAAAGAAAGAAAGAAAAACGTTGTACCTATAAATGATATGAGTTGGAAAGACGACATCCACTTGTTCTGCTGACTATTTAATAAGTTAAAGGTTTCACGCCGAATGCTGTCTTTATCGCACAGAACACGAACGAGCCAAGTAGGGGTATGATTGAGTTTTTTTACTTACTAGTGAGAGCATATAGTCTTCTATTTAGGCTTCTGGTTCTGCCTGATGAGATAGATACAAGGGGAAAGTTGTGAATGAATGAAGAGGGTAGTGTGAGTTAGACAGATAGAATGGATTTAGCCCATTTTTCACATGAGTCCAAGTGCTTGTTGACCAGAATATTAAGAAGCTGGTTAAGTGGCACTTTGCTTACCCTGCTGACAACCTTTAATATCCTGCGTAATGAGGTATTGTCTTTCTTCAGTAGCCCTGGAAAACCTAAAGGGGAACAATAGAGAATAATAGGCAGAATACGGGAGTTAACGAATTGTAGGAGTAAGGGTTGCGTTATACCAGATTGTCTTAACTTCTTAATGTAGAAGGTAAGACGGAATATTTTCTAAGAAATCATCAAGATATGAGACGACCAGGAGAGATCAGCAGATAGAATGACGCCAAGATATTTAATTCCAATAATAATAATAATAATTCCAAATTTCTTCCTCTGATAGTGGTTGGCACTTGTCGTTATTGTTGTTGGTGGTTTGTTATTTTCATCACCTCTGTCCTCTCTAAGTTTGCTTGAAGTCCTGTCTTTGATGCCTCTTTTGCCATTTTGTTGCTTTTGCCTTCATATTTGGTTAGAAGGTAATTTAAGTAAAACTGATACCTCATTGATTCGTGGTTCA